GACGAATACACCCTTCAAATTTTGTCTTATATGGCCGAATATAACGCATAACGAATAACACATAGCGAAGTGTGGTTTTCGCCATAAGGTTTCTACAACCTGAATCCGCTTTTCTTGCCTTGAATTTAGACTATCAGTGATTTGTTAATATAAGCAGTCTAAGGATAAGATGAAATACGGTGATTAAATAAATAATGCCATTTTAACTGTGTATAATAATTTATTTAGTACAATAGGTTAACAACGCAGAGTGGTCAAATGACTTTAGCAGAACTAAAAAGTTTATTTTGTTTGTAAGATTACAATACACGATATAATCATTATAACCATTGAAATAATTGTAAAATATAAGAAGTACACGAAATTTTATTTCATGCATTTAGATAATTTCATTCATTTTATGAACTTTATCTACTGAACTCATTTAACACATATATTGTTTATCCAATCGAAATATTAAAAACTCGATGGTAACATATAATTAGATTAAATTTAAAAAAACATAAAACAACCATAAAATAATAAGAATAATTATAGAAAATTTAGTTTTTTTTTCGGTGGGGATGAATAATAAAACTTTGTTTCAAATATAAATAAAAAAAAAAAAAAGATTTTATCTTTCGTCTTTATCGTTCGTTAATATGATTCGAAAGTCGGTTTTCAAATAGATTCTAGAAAAAGTGGACCATAAATACTAAAGAGCGTAGGCGCAAAATTTCAGGCCAATGCTTTTTAAATGCATTCATTTTTTTCGAATCCTGAGCAAACTAACAAATATTTTTGAAACATTTAAACGCAGAATGAAAGATTACATTACCGAGGGCCGAAAGTCCCTTAGAATAAACAAAAAGTTTTTTAAATGAGATATTTTCTCTTTTTTTTCACCCCTTATTATATATACTATATACTATATATAACTTATTAAAATAAACATTATAGAAGTTTTCAGGGACTTTCGGCCCTCGGTAATAATGTATTCTTTCATTCTGCGTTTAAAATTTTCAAAAATATTTATTAGTTTTCTCAGGATTCGAAAAAAATGAATTGCATTTAAAAAGCATTGGCCCGAAGTTTTGCGCCTACGCTCTTAAAAAAAAAGACTATTGATTAATATTTTCAAATGGGACACCAATATACAATTTTTTATTTAACAAAACTGTTTTGTTCCACAGTAAACATACTAAATCGACCTATTTTAGATCTAACTTTAGGGGGATTGGTGTAGCCAAATTTAGAAGATTGATAACAGTCAGATTCAAAATTAAAAGTTATGTGATTGGAAACCTAATATAATATGTATATTATAAACGATCTTGCGTCAAGCTTAGGTGTCTGGGTGTTGGGTGTTTACAGAGACGGACTGAAACCCATTGGGCTCTGCATGCATAGGTTGGAATCATGTTTGCATCGTAATCCGTTTTTGTTTCTATATTACTATTTATCATTAACGTGAGGAAAAATATCTGGTTATTAGAGGAACCAATTATTTCAATTCATAACCTTTTCTAAAAATTAATATTACCCCAAATTTATTGACACCTCATTTGATTGGTATTGGTTACTATCATACATGTTATCATATCCACTGATGACAAGATAATAACATTCTACTGATGGTAATGTTATTGAAAATCATAAAAAAAAAACAGGAAATACCCATGACTATTCCGACATAGTATTTGATTAAACCATTTATGTTTGGTTCAATATCCCCATCAAATTTTATTTCCTATTTGCAAAAAAAAACCGTAGATTTTAAAAATATTGTTTAAAGAAAGCAGCAGGCACCTACTGTTCTCCAAGCCAATAATCCTACTTACAAAAATGAATTAGTGTTGCAGTCAACAGGGCACATACTTACAGCAGTCTGAACTACAACTGTAAAACCTTACAGTACGTTGAAGTGACACTGCTGTCTTACGAATCTAAATCTGAACCAGATCGGTCGAATAACTGTCAGAATAGCTGGTGTATTTATCTAGAAAACGAATATCATAAAATTCAACATTCTGCGTATTGAAAGCGACAATCGAACTTTGGCGGCAAAGTAAAGTGGGAAACATCTTCCCGTTGTCTTATTAAGGGTTAACTAATCTGTTCTTTTCTTGATGCAGTAATGGTGTTACTGTATAATATTGACGCTAAATATGTTTTGATACTAAGTTCTAATATTTCCAATAGTTTCTCTATTATCCAACTTCTAAAAAATATCTAAGAACATATATATCTATCTCGCTGTTAGTTGTAAGAGAAACATCTCAAAGCTATGAATTATCTTTAGCTGAAACAAACCTATTTACTTGAAATCTAACACTGTACTGATTTTACAGCTCCATATCAGGTAACAGGATTAAGTATATCGAAGAAGGCCTTTTTCAGAAAACTCCCGCCCTGGTCCTGTTGGAACTAAAGGACAATCCGTTGATAGGGGTGGACGCCCACGCATTTCCTTCCTGCCAAGACTACAAAAGCTGCAAGTATTATGTTTCTACTATTTTTTGTTTGTTTTTTTTTTTCATTTTAGTTTTGTACCGATGTTTTGGTTAGCAAGAGAAATACATTATCGGTATTTTTCTTAAAAAAATGACTTTAACTGATCTAAATCAGTTAATATCCAATATCTGCCCGCCAATATCACATTAAAATTACAGCCTATGGATCAAAGTATCATTAAAAATTCAAGTCATTATATCGAAAAGAAGTTGTCAGGAATATGTTGGATAATATGAAAAAAAAAAAAGAATTCTACTATAGATATATTGCAAGCCATAAGAATGGCTAATAAAGCTTGGTGAAATGTAACTACGACTACTAGAAAAAAACTGTTATGTACACTGTGGTTTTCCATCGTCGTCAACAGAAGAAGTTGAAACCGAAGATATTTCTATCTCACCTACTGCAGAATGGAATACAGTGGTACCTGAATAAAGAATATCCTTTGAGGACTTTGTTACGCGCTATAATGGAGTTGACTGCCCACACATTATATGAATACGAAATTATCAATTTAGGAGCTCAGAGAACAGATACTAATGATTCATACGACATAGAAGACTTGAATAATACATCCGCTGCATGGGTTTCCATCTTAGAGGCAAAAACAGCATTTAATACTTTACGGAAAACCACCGAACTATCTGAAGGAAAAAAAATTACTGAGCTTTTTTATGCCATATTTTTTTATTTAGGGGTATTTTGAAATAATGTTGATTTATAACAAACAAAAATGTATGTTACTTCTCTAACTTGAATTTTTATTTATTTCACCTCTCTAACTAAAAATTAGTAAGAATAAATCTTAACCACTTTATGTCAAATCAAAATAAGTGGAAATCGTCCATAAGTCGAAAACTCATAACTCGAATTTTTGGGTCTCAATCGAAGTTCGACTTATAAAGATTCTACTGTATATCAAAATATAATTTTTTCATCTTCCTATGGGTCAAGAATATCGTGATAAATTTTTTATTTACTAATATCATATCATATATAATTGTCATTTGAATAAAGGAGAGAATTATTGTGATAAATACAATCCTTGTCTGACCAACAGTGTTTTAATTGAGTACTTTAACAGTATTGTATATAATCTACAGCAGACGCAAATTATAGTGAAGTTGTTGCTGCGAAGGTTTTAAAATTACTTATTCAAGCTGAATTGGATCAGTAAATCATGGCACTGAAATAGTGGGGAAAGCGAGGTTGACGCCGTTGACGGCAGACGTCAGACACCTACACCTACAAATGTACAAATATTTAGTAGATTTGCATCTGTCTGTCGCTGAAATAATGACGAGCTTTCTATCGTTTTCGATGAGAGTGTTAAGGTAACATGAGGCGAAAATACATCATTTCGCGCACTTCGTCATAACATTTCGTTCGACGACGGTGGTCTGTCCGGCCAAGCCTACGATGTAAAACGTTATTTTCTTAAAAATAAATAATCTACATTGTCGCGATTTTCAGTACTTTTAATTAAAATTAAAATGAACGCCTACATTTTACATTATATTTTACAAAAAAAATCGTTTTATTAGACCACCGTCGTTCGTTTATGTAAGTTTTTTCATAAATAGGAACTTTATTTATTTATTTTATTTTCCCTCTATTTTCGAGTATCAAAATGGATGAGTAAACCATAGAAAATTATGTAAATATTATACAGATGATATTCACTGGGTTGGGTTTCCCCGATCGAGAATATACAGTGTAATTCCTAGATATGCTTTAGTTGTTAATTTGTTATTTTAGTTTCGTGTGAATTACATCTGATAATAAAGTGATTTCGCAAGAACTATACGTAGCAGTTAATTGTTTTATTCATCAATTAGCGTATCCTGTTTTTAAGATTAATAGGTATTTTATTAATTTTTGACATTGAAACTTGGGACAATTATTTCAGTGATGGATCCTTATGAAAGAGAAATTCAACGTCTAATTACTCTATGGCAAACTTACATCTGATCCAAAAATCATGCTTTTATTGCTTGTTATATTTAACAGGTTTGGATCACGGCTTTCGAAAAAATTTAGAAGAATTTTGGGCAGACGAGATCAAAAATATTTGTATCGACCATGGCACAAAGACGATTTAGATTAAGTCAATGTTGTTATAACTTTGCTGACTATGTAACTCTCGATGAGATGCTTTTTGCTTTCAAAAGTATCGAAGTATTTGTCACTGTCGACGCAAAAACATTTTACACTAATATGAAAATATATGCTTGTCAACAACCTGCTGGACCATATAAAGTAGATAATTCATGTGCAGCAGTTACTACAAGGATGTGTGAACCTCTCTATGGAACATTAAGAAATATTACGATTACATATTAATGATTCAACATCGTTACAATATTTTTTATTTCTGTTTAGATTTTTAATCAAAATATTTTTGTTACTTCTGATATTCTACAATTTACAGAAAAGAAATACAGAACGGATGGATATCACAGTTCCTGATAACAAAACATGTTTCACTTGTTTAAATAAAAATAAAGGACACAAAAAAATATATTCCTATCCTAATTCCTATGTACAATAAAATATTTCACATTTGTTATAAAATTCGCTTGTTTCGCTTATTTAGAAAAATCTTAAGATCAACTAATGGCAGTTATTCTTTATAACAAATTTAAATCGTATTTTAATCAATATAAATATAGACTGCTTCAAGATAATAATGCTCTACCCGGTAAGAAATTTCAAATTTCTTATAAGAAAATTATCGCTTGTTACATTATTCATAGTCTTTATTCATTATTCATGTGATATTTTTTTGTTAATATTACAAAAGGAATGATAAATACATGTATTTGCCTCTAGCACCAGAGAAGTTTAGAAAACAATGTTGGTATGTAGAGAAGAATCTGGTAAGGCAAACACCCACACAGTTCTACAAACCTCAAACAATATTGATAAAATTCGATTTTATTTGAATTTACCCACGGCTAAAAATAGTTTTTATCCTGTAATCAGCAGCATCCATCCTGCAAGCATCCAGCAAAGAAAAATATTTGAACCATTTTATCTTTAGCGCTGAAACATTTTCAAACATGCATTGCAAACATATTTAAAATAAAGTTTTCCTTTTTATCTCAAGTGTTCAAAAAACATATATAAAAAAAATTCAAAAGGTATACAATAAATATGTACGTTTTATTCTACATTTCGGCATTTATACTCAAAATATAATTAATTTTTAAATTAAATAAAAAAATTTACAATGGCACGATGGCTTGAAAAATAGAATTGGAGGATCTGCTTCCTATTCGTTGGGATTTTCAAACGCTCCAGTTCACGGTTTTGTCAATTATACACAATTCAAGTTAACATTGGTAGCACGGAAGAACCTGATACGTCCTGACAAAAAAGACGAGCAAAAGATATTTCTCCTTATTGGAAAACCAAGTAAATAATTTCTTATAAAAAATATATTATACATTTTAAAGTTGCGTCAATTATTAATATAGAAGAAATTTCTTCAGCTACAAGTTATCAAAGTATGCAGTTTTCATAATACCTAAGCTATTTGGCGTAAAGTACAATATTTAAGCCTTCTAAAGTTGTACAAGGAAAACAAGGAAATAAAAAGACAGAATGAGTTCTTTCTGCTTAGATCATCTGCCAAAAGACAAAGTTAAAGATACTTGGCTTTACGCAAAGGAGAATTCCCGGACCGATGAAGCCATTGTTAAATTCAATGATCATTGTATTTACCAGCGGATTGGTAATTCGCATTAAATAATTAAATAATTGTCATTGAAAACGTCGCCGAACTACAAATTATGTAGAATGATAACAGATCAGACTAAACAGACGCATCTAAAAAACACGTCCTAATATAATTGAACTGATGAAAGTTCTCCAGGAAGATTACACTATTATAATAACCACTGCCAAATGTCTATATTCATAAATACTCCAAAAATAGAACAAATACTGTGAATCAGGTAGGCAGTTAAAAACATATGCAAGTAACCTCACTCAAAATAGATATTCTTAATGAAACATTGAACAATATTAAATATATTGTAAAATCGAAAATTTCATTAGCACAATTCAATTTATACTTTGTTCTATTAGAAATTATTTTCAATTTTACTATATTTAAGTAAGTATTACTCCATTTAGTTGAAGATAATTCGATTTTTTAATTTAGTAATGCATATTTTTAAAATTTTGTTTCACACATTTTATTTAGGAATTCATTTTGAATGTAAAGTATAAATAAGATAAATTTCCAGATAATTAAAAATCACGTACATGGATGTAAAGGTTGCTTATAGTTTTATTCGACAGTATTGACAGCTGATGACTTATTTCTTGAAGCAATGTATAATTGTAAATATTTTCGGTTGAAAAAAAAACAAAGAATGAATGAAGCAACGATAAAATTAATAGTAGTACCCTTATGCATAATTAAAACGACTTTTCTTATTTTAATTTGCAATCTCTTAACCGCAATATTTCTGTTACCGATATATAAAAATATACTATAAAAATGTTGTAATCTGTTTTTTGATTAGGAAACAAGCGAACTAACACGGTTGAAGCGGCAATAACAACAAAAAGATTTGATTTAAAAACCTATTTCGGGACTAACAAAATATTTCTTTAGGATTTTTGTGGTACCGAAAATTTGGGTAAGCAAAGTCCGAATTTGCTTTCGATTCCTGAGAAAATTGGAAGTGATACTGAGTATCCACCGACGTGATCTGGATTGGCAGGTTTCTTTGTATCTCCTATCGTTGATATCTGTTTTAGTTCGGATCCCGATGGGCGACTGTAAAGAAAAATTAAGTTTAGTAAAGGTCTTTTTACACTTTTATTAAAAATATATTCTAAAAATAGTTTCTTAATCGGTGCGTCAATATATTGCTACATATATTATTCAAGAATGAGTTACGAATCAAGCAATTCAAATAAACTACGGTAATTAAGGTCAAGCGTACATTTATTGGCAAAATGTGATTTATGCTCTGTAATAAACCACAATTTTAACTGACCAGAAAACTGATCAGTAGTTGACCCTGATGCAGAAAGGGGATATGTCACGATATGTATATTCTCAAATAAAAAACGAAAAAAAAAATAAGATAAAAAACATTATTTTATTAATAATAGTAAAGTACATATACATTTTCTTCTTCTTTTTATATACCGGGTGGTGAATCGTCAAACGGGCCATAGGAAACTCAATGGGAAATTTTAAATTGTTGAATTGCTGCTTCCCTAATTATTTTAGATCAAAAGTCATTAAAAACTATTTGTAGAGGACTAAAATCTGAATTAAAAACAAATGTTAAAACCGTTCTACGAATTAAATATATTTCAAAATTTGGCAAAAATATAATACATTTTTCAGGCCACCCTAAAAGTTAAGTCCGTTTTACAGCTTGCAATTTTACCTGCAACGTATTGCAGTTGCGCGATAATCGGTTTGGTGCCATTTTCTGTGCAAGTTTTCATGCAAGTCTAGGGGAATTTGTAGGAAGTTTGATTTTTCCACAATGTCAAATGTCATAATCACTGATTGACACGGAGACATGCCGATCAGCTGTTTCCTATTTTGTTTATTATTTCCTTTCCCACACATTTGTATTTAGCTTGGCTTGATTTGTAGATTATCGGCTTTTTCTAATTTTAATATTTTTAATTAATACGTTAGAGTATCATCAAAAATTGAACTATCTTCTGCCCGAAGTACCAACAATGTCTTGCAAAACTAGGTAAGTAAATTAGATTGTTATTTTATATCAGATATTTATTGTGCTATTCACACTTTTGGAATCAATAATTTTGTTCTTCTTTATTATACCCTATCGTATACAGCATTCTAAAAATGGGAAATTATACCAAAAATTTTCTTTTAAGGATTGGTTATGATTGGCCTCGAAATGCTGCTACTTTATTAATTGAGCTGTGGGAACAACATCAATGCTTATATTTGCCTTTTAACACACAATATCATAATAGAAATGTGAGAGTTGCAGCACTGCAAACAATTACCAAGCAGTTTAATAATAACAAAATGACGAATTTGTCAGAAGCAGATGTTAAAAAAAAATTGCATAGTATTAGAACTCAGTATATGGCTGAATTGAGCAAAAATTAAAAAAAGTGAATCATCTGGAGCAGGGGTTGCAGATATCTATGTGCCAAAATTATGGTGTTTTGATGAACTCCACTTTTTGCAACAAGGTGCCACAATAGTTTCCAAAGGAGAATCAAACCTACCCGAACTATCATTTTCTCACAGCATTCAAAGCCAATATCACAGTGAAGTAGATAATGTAAGTTAAAATTAATATTTTCACTGTTAAGGTGATAGGCGCAAATATTTTAAGTCTACTAGTTTTTCTTTATCAAATTACGTGTAGTAAAATTCTCACTGGTACGGAGATATAAACTTTAGTTGACATTGTCATCATTAACATAGAGAAGTGATTTTAATAATATAATAACTTTTTATTAATTTCATATCTTAAATCAATTATTTATTAAATATAGTATCAATATTATTTAATAAACAACACAAAATATTCCTGTAGTCATGTCAAATATTTAGTAGTCTTGTCACTGTAACCACATTATGTTCGACTGAGTGCGTTGTATGACAAAGACAGTGAATGCTTGATTTGGAAAATATTACCATCACATGGTGTTCGTAGTTTTCGAATCCTGGAAAAACTAATAAATATTTTTGATAAATTTAAAAGCAGAATGAAGATTACATCATTACTGAGGGTGGAAAGTATCTTAGAATAAACAAAACGTTTCTCTTGAATTAGATATTTGAAATTAAAAATCACACTCAATTTTCTCTTCTTTTTCACCCCTATAATTTATTAAAAAAACATTATAGAAGTTTTCAGGGAATTTCCACCTTCGACAATGATGTAATCTTTCATTCTGCGTTTAAATTTTTCAAAAATACTTATTAGTTTTCTCAGGATTCGAAAAAACAAATGCATTTAAATAGCATTGAAACAAAATTTTGCGCCTACGCTCTTAAACTTGGTACTGTTATTGTACCAAAAAGTTAAATTTTGTTAGTTTGATTGGATTTAAAAGTAATAAGTAAGTAATAGTCAATATTATTTTAGTCTGAAGGTGAAATGATTTTTGAAGGAGACGTAGAAGAATTTTCCAATTTGGAAGTATTGTCTTCTCCAACAGTGTGTAGGAAAATACCTGAAAAAACTCAGTCCAGTTCGAGAGCTTCCAGTAGTTATGAAGGGACAAGCGCCACCAAAAAAAAATCAAAAAAACAAGAGAAGGAGGAAGCCTATGGCCTTATTAGTGAGGCAGTAACATCTCTGAAGGAGCTTAGGACTGACTGTAGGATTACTGAAGATATGAATTTAGGTGCTAATATAGTGTTTGCTCAGTAAGTTCATAGGTATTGTAATGCCTTTTATTTTCATTACTAATTGCAGTTTTCCTCCAATTGATAGATGCACTTTTTAGAGGTCTACCATGAATATTTCTTTTATTTGTTGATATTTTATTTACTTTATTTCAGATGGGTTGGAAAAGAAATGGACCTCATAGATGATGACGAGATTTTAAATGATCTACAGGAATCAATTTCACTAAGTATTTTTAAAGCGAAAAGGAAATTTTTTCAGAAAAAGCGAAATGAGTAAATAATACATTTTTTTTTAATTTGTGATCCAAATAAACAAAGCTGATACTAATTTCGTGTATTTATTTTTGTTTTCTACAAGTTCTAAATTTCAACTCATATTGTCTAGGTAAAATGAAAATTTCATTTCATTGTGATCCTATAGAAATAAAAACAAAATTTAAATGGTGTATCCAACTGTATTTGCATATTATCTAATTTTACACAATACAAAAATAAACCCAAAATAAGGATTAAAAATGAAATATGCAATATTTTTATCTGTAAGTATATACACTACATTAAAGACAATATCAAATACTTTAAATAACTTCTTCTTGCCAGGGGACACTGCCACATCCGTTAAAATAAGCTTTAAATTCCTCCCTTATATTTAATGCCTCATTCCTTGGTCTTCCAAAATTCTGCCTGCTCAGACCATTCACAAATCTGTATTCTCTGTCATCTTCTGGGCTATTTCCAGTATAAACATTTCCAGATTCTTTTTTAAAAAAATTATGCAAAGCACAGCAGGTTTTTGTGATTAGTTTTGCTTTTTCTGGACTAAGAGGTATCGAATGAAGCAATACTCGAAACCTATTAGCTAGTATTCCAAATGCGTTTTCAACTACACGACGACCTCTACTTAATCTGTAATTGAAAATTCTTTGCTCTTTTGACATATTACGTAGAGGGTAAGGCTTTAAAATATAGGATGACAGGGAAAATGCTGCATCAGCGACAATCACAAAGGGTACTGGCATTGCTCTTCCTGGGAGTGGCCTATCTTTTGGAAAATTCAGGTAATTTTGGGCAAGGGCTTGAGATAGATCACTCTCCCAAAAAACACCGCCATCTGATATCCTTCCATTTGTTCCCACATTAATGTATGTGAAGTTGTATTTGGCATCTACCAAAGCAAGTAAAACAATACTATGCTGTTTCTTGTAATTGAAATAGGCAGATCCTTGGCTTTTAGGAGCTTTTATCATAATATGCTTCCCATCTAAAGCTCCTACGACATTTGGAATATTCCACAATGTCTCAAAATCCTTCGCTATTTCCAACCACTCTGCAGTTGTCCTTGGAACTAAAACAGATTTTGTCAGTTTGCTAAATATAAGTAATATAGGTAGGTCATTATAATCTATCTATGAAATACTTGCCTTCAAATATTCATTTTTAAGTGCTTCATAAATGCTTCACAAACTATGGGAATGAATAATGAAATGGCACTCTCTGAGACTCTATAATTGTACATTAAGCTACGGAAGCTCTCTCCTGTAGCTAAGTACCTTAGGGTAATAATTAGTTTGTGTTTAGCAGAAATGGTATCTCGAAATATAGATTTCTTTGTTATTACATGTTCAATTTTTCCCAAGAGTTTATTAAATGTACCTTCATTCATTCGTAGAAAATTAGAGTACTTTTCATCATCTACTTGGATAAATTCTTCCGTTAGAGATATATTACCCTCTTCTTGTTCAACCAAGGTCTTATCCACCATCTCCGTTCTTGGCGATCTGAATTAGTAACTAAAAGGCTGGCTGCAGCAATAATAATACTTAAGATTTCTGCCACTGCCTTTTTCTTTTTGCATTTGGCTATTTTCGATAGTCTTGGCATTACGAAATTTACTATCAATCTACCTATTGAAATTAATTCTAAATATATCTATCTAAATTCTAATCTAAATCTATCGAAATTAATTCAATATATCTATCAATCTAAATCGACTAAAGTGTTTTAAATAAACAAGTAATTAAAAAAATCATAAATAAGTTAGGTTAAGAGTAAAATATTCAACATTAATTGCACGCTGTAAAGTCGCACATAAAGCCCTGCAATAAATTGCATGAAAGTTAGTCATGCAAGAAGATGCAGCAAGTTTTCTTGCAAGCTGTAAAGCGGTCTTTAGGCCACACGTATTGCAAGAATGTTTATTATGACGTCAAATTTATGTCAGATGTTTGACAATATTTGAATTCTCAATTTTTTTATTTTATGATTAAATTATAAACAATGAATTTTACTAAATACTACTACTACTGAACAACAACTATTACTTTGTGAACAATAAATTATATTGTTTACAAATCAATAAATATAATGAAATGTACTCAGTTGACGAAAAATCGCATAATGTGGTATTCAGGCAATAGTGCGAACCTTTTCTTTGTCTAAGTTGCGAGCACTACCAGATCTTTATTTAACGTAAGATATTCTAATACACTAAAATTTAATTCCAAGTTATACAACAATTCAATGAATTTCAATATAGTGTTACTGTGATCTTTATTCCTAAAAATAATTTATGCTATTTTTAAACATAAAACTATAACAAATGTTATAATAAAACATGAATAAAACATTTTTATTATTGCTTTTCTCAACTGAGTACATTTTTTAATCAACTTAATTTTTTTAAACAGTAGATCACAAAATAAAAATGTTGGCCATTTAAATAATAGATTTAAATATTGTCAAATATAAGAAATATCAATATGAACGCAACACGTAATACACATTTTTTCACGGCGTCTGGCCTGAAAAATGTATTATATTTTTGCAAAATTTTGGAATAAGTTTAAATCGTAGAACAATTTTAACATTTGTTTTTGATACATATTTGAGTCCTCTACAAATAGTTTCCCATGACTTTTGGTGTAAAATAATTAGGGAAGCAGGAATTCAGTCATTTAGAATTTCCCATTGAGTTTCCTATGGCCCGTTTGACGATTCACCACCCTGTAGACAAGACTCTGTCTGTTTTTCAATGTGCCTTCACTAAGTTGTCGTTCCATCGTCTCGTGGTCTTCCTACTGATCGTCTTCCTATTGGGGAACCGTCTCTTGCCATCTTTACTACTCTATTTGTTGTCATTCGGTTTGTATGATCGTTCCATTCTACTCTTCTATTTCTTACTTAGTTCTTGATGTTCTCCACCTTGCATCTACGTCGTATATCTGTACTTCTAACTCTGTCCCACAGTGTCTTACCATCAATTTTTCCAATCCTTTTTGTCCTCTTTTGTGTCAGGTCTTGTTTCTGCCGCGTATGTAATTATGGTTCTGATGACTGTTTTGTAAATTCTGCCATTCGTTTCTTTCCCGATATTTTTATTTCTCCATATTGTTTCATTTAAGCAACCTGCAGCTCTACTCTATTCACTTGATCTTCCACTTCGGTTTCGAGCTTTCCGTAGCTAGATAATATCTGACCTTCCAGCTCCAATTTACATCTTAGTAAATTTGCTGTTGTAACCATGCATTTTATCTTTTTTGGGGAAATTAACATGTTAAATTTTCTGGCGGTTATATTAAATTGGTGCAGCATACGTTGTAAATCATCTTCACTTTGAGTAGTGTTGCGTCGTCTGCATAGCAGATTATTTTAAGTTGTTTTACTCCCATTTGGTATCCTTTTTTACTTCTTACTTTTTTATTATTTCGTCCATAAGAAGGTTGAACAATAGAGGACGCAGAGAATCTCCCTGTCTTATCCAATTGCCAGCTTCAATAGCGTCGGTTAGTTCTTCTTCTACTTTTACTTTTATTGTGTTGTTTTCTAAGATATTTTCGATCGTTTTGATTATTCCTAGAGGTATCTCTCTTGTGTACAGTAAGTGGATAACGTCTTTTAATTTGACCCGGTCAAATGCCTTTGTAATGTCCACGGAACATCGATATGCCGGTTTGTTGTATTCTAATGATTTCTCTTGCACTTGCCTCATTATAAATATAGCGTCGGTGCATGATATTCCCGACCTAAAACCTTGTTGTTTTTCTGCTAGTGATATAATTTTATTCAATTTATTTGTTATTACTTTGATTGTTATTTTTATTCTATACAAAATATACAACAACAAAAAACGAACTAGGACTTAACTACAGCAATGGAACAGAAAAAACATATTTTGGTCCAAAAAAGGATAAATCTTATTTTAAAAATATTAACACAAAACTCAAAAAACTTACTATAAACCGATGTCACTTAGGTCACTTCCTTCTGTGGTTGATGTAGAATCTTCCACTGGTTGATTTTCTAATTGTTGATTAATACCGCTAAGTGCATTATAATTTTGCGAAGTACTCGAAAAAAAGTGTCATAACATTTCTATATTTGACATCTTTCAATGGTAACGGAGCAGTATAATACTTGATTATATTTTAATAAGTTGAACTTTAAGAACGAAGTTCCACTTGCAGAAATAGAACATTATGTATCTTCAGAATGTTTAGAATGCCAAAAAATTCGGTAGGAACTAACCGAAAATTATGTTTTATCAATATTTCTTGGATTCGCCAAGCAAAACAATTTTACGCTGCTAACATAATCTAGAATCATTTTTTGAGAAACATCTACTACTGAAAATTTCCTTGAACAAGTTTTTATACTCTTGTGGAAAGTACATTCGGTCAACAATCCGTTGTTTCTTTTCAATTATTCCAAAGGACCTTTACACGGGAAACGATGTACAATGGAGGCAAACCGTCCTATCTTTAAAAACGCAACAAGATATCAAACGATGGTATTGCTCTTGTTTTGTGGACAGCAGTTGTCAGAGAATAAATACAACCTTTTTATATTTTTGGGCAAAATAAAATTTATGTATTGTTGCAGGAAGCTCACTTCATTAGCGCCCTTTTTAGCTACATATAGAAATGAGATATTTCATTTTTCGATGAGTTTACACAACACTTGTACATCTACAATTGTCTTAGATAAAATGCATCAGTTGAAGGTACCTTTGCAATGGCAAAACACTTTTACTTTGTAAGTTTTTCTCTTCTAGAAGAAACAATTTGGTCTCTAAAACTTATAATACACTCCTACCTCGTGCTCGTTTACTTTTCCATTTCTAAACTGGCTTTATCTTCTTCCCTCCCTGCTAAGCTTACCTCGCTTCTGTTTCTGCACTATCATCTTCAAACTTTCTAAGCTGTCACTTTTGGAATTAATTTTGTATCCACTTCCCGACCCCTGAAATGGCTCAGTTTCTTCAGAATTTTGTCCCGGCATTATACGTAACTAAAAGAGACCGATTCAGCGAACCTAGTTGCTACTTATCACCTTTTTGCACTAAGGTCTTCAGTTACTTAAATGTCAGTAGGAAGTGCGAAAGGATTATAAATCCTTTAATAAAAGTAAGTTAAAAAATAATATTAATCAATTCATTAAATAGAATCAGTTTAATAGTGTCAATTCCAAATAACATAGATAAAGAGTCAGATAAACGTCAGACAAGAAGTAAAAAAAAGGACAGACTTTGACAATGATTGTAAGTTGAGTTTCAGTGACAATCACTAAAAATGATGTGATGAAAATGATAAAGAAGTAGGCTTAGTAAGGAGCAAAAAATGGCCAGAACGCCGCCAGGATCTTACACAAAAATCGAAGAAAATATAGAAACGATAATGCATATGATAAACAGAATGAATGATAAAATAAACGATATTTCAATAAAAGTCAAGGAAACGAGAGAATAGCAAACGATAACACTAAAGGAAAATATAATTTAAGTTGAGGAAAGAGTAGAACGTATGAAGAGAGAAAAAAGGGCAAACAATGTATCGATAATATAAAATCGTAAGGGGTACCTACCATTAAAATAGACAAAATGACCTTACAGAATTCAATACTTTTCATTTTTTTACGTTCTGTGTTTAAAAAATAAGACTCTTCCACCCCCAAAAACGTAATTTTTTCGCTTTTATTTATTTTTTTTTTCGGTGGGTTGCAATCAATTTAAAATTTTGAAAAAATTCACACGCATAGGTAAGGGTTCACACTCAATAAATACATTTATTTTCGAAAAAAGGCTATTATAAATTTACTTTGGAGATAGCGTTGCAGGTATAGTTTTGTTCTATAATATCTATTTAATCAAAAACTATATTTCTGATATTTTTTTTTTCAGTTTTATTCCGTTAGGTGTGCTACCTTCAAAAATCCACAAAAAGTGTGTTTTTTTGGGTATTTTTCGAGTTTCTGCACTATATTTCTGTTTTTTTTTTGAGATTTTTCCGACAGGTGCGCCACCTTGAAAAACCCAAACAAACGCTAAAAACTGTGATTTTGGGAATTTTTCCTATCTTGTAGACTTTAAAATAAATAAATTCACGGTTTTTTTATATACATAGAAATTTTATTAAGCATGGGAGCATAAGTTAAATAGCTCCCATCGTACTCCTGTACTCCTAACTATATATTTCCTAATATGGTTTTAAGCCGACGGCCACGGCTTGAGTTTATGCAGTCGCACTCTTCAAAATGTTTTAAAGTATAATAACCGTGACCAAATCGCCCATTCAAAATGTCCTTCTATATGCGTCTATATTCTTTGATAATAGATTTGACTTGGGTTTCTTCAACTGACGTAAAATATTCCAACAAACTTTCCCCATCGAAAAGCAAAAAATATATAATAAAAGAGTAAATAATAAATTAACTATACTTACGTTCCTCCAAAGTCGACATAGAGATATCTCTGGAGCAATTCATATGTAACTAGGGTAACACCAAATTGTGGGGAAGACCTCATGACACGAGCTAAAAATCAGAATAAGAATGTGTATAGATTAAATAAATAATAGTAAAAAGTAATAGTGAAATAAGTAATAATAGTGTATACGAATCTATACAATAACACTACACTTATCGTAAAAATAGTTATGGGTATAAACAAAATACAATATGTATTTCACAGCGTTTTGCAACATTCCCATCATCCTTCGTCAATCATCTCTCGTCAAGGCATCCTCTTTTTGTATATTTCCATTTCTTCAGTCTTCTGAGGTTCTTATTCCATATTTACCATTATGCGTGGTATAAGTCTTTTTCTTCTTCCTGGAGATGTCCACTGAAATAATATTTTAGGCCATCGCTCGTCATGCATTCTTATTAAGCGTTCAAGGAGCATTGTTCAATTCGGTCCACCACTATTTCTTCTCCTTTCATTCGAGTCCATACTTCCTCATTCCTTTCCCTTCTTGATATTATTGCGCTTCTTATATAATCCATTTCTACCGCTAAGATACTTTTTCTAAAGTCCGCATTAAGAAAATTCTTCCATGTATCAGTAAGTTGTATGAAAGGATGCTACGAGTATGCATAGACGACATGATTGAGAGGTCAGGTTGTTTATCTCGGAGGCAATTTGGTTTTTGTAGAGAGAAAAGCACGATTGATGCAATCATGAGTGTACTCGAAGCTTTGCGCAACATAGGGGATGAACATCGTTGGGCGGTCCTGCTGTTGTTTGGTGTTAAGAATGCGTTCAATACGCTGCAGTGGAAAGAGGTAATGAAGGCAATGGAAGAGTGAGAATGTCCTGGTTACTTGATGAATGTGGTGGCGGAGTATCTGTCCGAGAGAAGGATTTTGGTGAAAAAGGGCACGATCGTGGACGTGACGACCGGGGTACCCCAGGGATCTGCCTTTGGCCCGACGCTAGTAAACCTGGTATATCACGGGGTTATGCACTGTGAATATGGAGAGGGTACAACCTTCTTCTCCGTGTCGTAAAGAAATGGATGACGCAGCACGGATTGAAACTTGCGGCAGAAAAAACCGGAGCCATCATTTGAAGGGGAAAAGAAATAGGCAAAGTGTTTTAGACGTGCGGGAGCATGTCTAAAACCCAAGAAACAAGTACCTAGGAGTGACATTGCACCAGAATGGAAAATGGGGGAGCACGTGCGGGAGGTGGTCCGAAAAGCTGCCAATAGTGCGGCTGCGTTGGGGAGGGTGATGCCCAACATTCTTCTTCTTCTTCAAGTGCCTTCTCCGCTACGGAGTTTGGCAATTATCATTGCAATCATCTTTGAAGCTGTTGCTCTAAATAATTGGTTAGATGTGCACTGGAACCAGTCTGTTAAATTGCGCAACCAAGATATACGTCGTCTTCACACGCGTCGTTTGCCCTGAATCTTTCCTTGGATAATTAACTGGAACAATCGGCACTTTTTCCCTCTCATCACATGACCAAGATATTCCAACTTTCTTCTCTTGATGGTGATCAACAGCTCCCGTTCTTTGTTCATTCTTCGAAGAACTAGACTATTTGTTATTTTTTCTGTCCAAGGTATTTTCAAAATTCTTCTATATATCCACATTTCGAAGGCCTCTAGTTTATCGATATTGCTCTTGTTTAAAGTCCAAGTCTCTACTCCGTACAGCAATATCGAAAAGATGTAACATCTAACCAATCTCATTTTCAGGTTTAAGTTAATGTCATGACTTCCCAGCATACATACATACCATATTAACAAAAGCAACTCGAGCCTTTCCAATTCTAGTTTTTATTTCTTCTGTGATGTCATTGTTGTTATTAACACTTGTTCCCAAGTATTTATATTTGTGCACCCCTTCGATTCCGTTATTGTGAATGTACAGGTTTGCATTCAATCTTTGTTTTTTTTTTTGAATAATCATGAATTTCGTCTTCTTGACATCCATTGTTAACCATTTCTCTTCACTAGCTGTGACTACTCCGCCATTAAAACCGTATCATCTGCGTATCTAATATTATTAATTGGTTGGCCGTTAACTTTTATCCCAGTCTCTTCTTCCTGCAATGCTTTCTTCATAATTTCATACGAATAGAGATTAAATGGCATTGGTGACAGCATACATCCTTGTCTAACTCCTTTTTTAATTTGAATTTCATTAGTTGTGCTATTTTCGATGCGTGCGACTGCCTTCTGACTATAATACAGAGTAGATATTATTTTTATATCGCGAGTGTCTAACTGTTTAGCTTTCAAGATCTCTAAAAGTTGGTCATGCTTGACGTTATCACACGCCTTGTTGTAATCAATGAAACAAGCAAAAACATCTTGATTCACATCCAAACACCTCTGTGTCAAGATGTTAAAGGGAAATAATGCTTCGCGAGTTCCATATCCCTCCCGGAATTCAAACTGAGTTTCTCCGATATCTTCTTCCAATTTTCTGTAAATTCTATTGTGAATTATTTTGAGTAATATTTTTAAAGTATGAGTCGATTCTCACTGCACTGCTTAGCATGTACCTTTTTGGGAAGAGGGACAAAGGTCGATCTAAGCCATTCTTCAGGGATTATACTGTTTTCATCTTCTTCTTCTTTTTGTGCCGCTCCTATCGGAGATTGGAAATCATCAAGGCTATTCTGACCTTGTTTACGGCTGACCTAAAGAGTTCATTAGTGGTGCAGCTATACCACTCTCTCAAATTCCGCAACCATGACATTCTTCTACGGCCTGGATTCCGTTTTCCTTCTATTTTTCCCTGCATTATATTTTGAAGTAATGCGTATTTATGTCCTCTCATCAGGTGACCAAAATATTCGAGTTTTCTTCGCTTTAGCGTTAACAAAATCTCTGGGTCTTTTCCTATTCTTCGTATTACTTCACAGTTTGTTATTCTTTCAACCCAACTAATCTTCAGCATTCGACGGTAGCACCACATCTCGAAACTTTCAATATTTTTCATGTTGTTCTGTTTGAGAGTCCAGGCCTCTACACCGTATAATAGAGTGTTAAATACATAGCCTCTCAGCATTCTTAATCGTAGAGGGATGCTTATATTTCTGTTACAAAAGAATTTTCTCATCTTTATGAAGGTGGCCCTAGCAATTTCGATACGTCTTTTTATTTCACTGTTTTGGTCTCCAGTTTCGTTTATTAAAGTTCCCAAGTATTTGTAACTTGATACTTTTTCAACTTGAGTGCCGTTTATACTAATATACGCTGGTTGTGTCATGTTTTTACTGAAGACCATATACTTGGTTTTTTTAATATTGATATTTATACCATAATTGTTGCAAGCAATATTTATGTTTGTAAGTAATCTTTGTAATTCTTCTACTGTTCTTGCAACTAGTACAGTGTCGTCCGCGTATCGAATATTATTTACAATCTCTCCATTAATTACGATTCCTCCGTTTGCTTGTAAAAGGGCTTCCTGACAGATGCTTTCACTATATACATTAAATAACAGAGGTGACAAAATGCAACCTTGTCGTACTCCTCTACGTATTTCTATTGCTTGTGATGTTTCAGTTTCTACTTTGATGTTAGCTTTCTGATTCCAATATAGATTGAGAATTATTCGCAGATCTTTATTATCTATGTCCTTCCTTTCAAGAATCTCTCTAAGCTTATCATGGCGTACTCTGTCAAACGCTTTCTCAAAATCGATAAAACACGTATGTACCTCCTGATTAACGTCTAGACATCTTTGTGTAAGAACATTCAAACCGAAGAGAGCTTCTCGAGCACCAAGCCCTTTTCTGAACCCCATCTGTGTATTACTAATATCTGACTCCAACTTTTGATAAACTCGGTTGTGGATGATTTTTAGAAATATCTTTAGTAGGTGGCTCATTAAAGATATTGTTCGATGTTCTGAACATTCTTTAGCATTAGATTTCTTTGGCAGTGTAACGAATGTAGACAACAGCCACTCTTGAGGTATAATACCAGTATTGTATATTGTATTAAATAAGTGCAATATTATACCTATTGATTCATCATTCAAGAGCTTTAGCAATTCGGTAGGAACCTCATCCGGTCCATTTGCCTTCCCAGTTTTGGAATTTTTAAGTGCCATTTCTACTTCACATTTTAGAATTTCAGGTCCCGTTTCGCCATATATCAGAACAATGTTATTTCTGTTGTCCTCAAATAATTCTCTTATGTATTCACTCCATCTATTAATTTTCTCTGTTAAATCTATAATAATCTTTCCATCTTTGTTCTTAAGCAAACTTATTTGACGTCTTCTTTGGGTTCCTGTAATTTCTCTTACTTTTTTATGTATATTGAACGTGTCATACTTTCTTTCATAGTTTTCCATTTCTACACATTGTTCTGTAATCCATGATTCTTTGGCATTTCTTATTCTTTGCTTTATGTTCTTATCAACCTCTTTGTATTTTTTCTGCATTATTCTTCATTTTACGTCTTTCATCCATTAGTTCTAGAATGTCTGGTGTCATCCACACCTTATGTTTCTTTGCAGATTTGGTTAGATGTTTCTTTCCCGTAGTTCTTATTATAGTATTTATATACTTAAGTTTTTCATCTATGTTGTCTGTTCTGCGGATTTGGCTTTCTGCTACACTGAGGCTGGTGTTTATTTCTTCTCGCACTGTTTGTCGTAGATGTTCATTTTTAAGCTGGCTTAAGTCTAATGCTGGAATGATGGCTTTTCTTATCTTCTTTGGTCTAGCTTCTATCACAGATACTACTGGATTATGATCCGAACCGATATCATACTGTTTTCATAAATTTTGTTAAATAAGTCTACTAACAAATGGATTCTATCTTCGTCTATCAACTTTAGTATATCCGCTGGTAGCTCGTCTGGTCCTGGAGTTTTGCTATTCTCACCGTTTGCATTACTTCTTCTTTGCTTATTTCTGGACCTGTCTCCTCTGGAAAATTATCACAAGCCTTTGGTCGTAAAACAGTTTTTCTATATATGTCTGCCAATGTTTTAGTTTCTCCTCTGTTTCCATTATCATGTTCCCTTGTTGGTCTATAAGTACTGTCTGCTTCCTGTTTCTATTGCTGATAATTTCTTTAACTTTCTTGTGAAGATAGAACGAATCATATTTGGCTTCCAAGTTTTCAATCTCCTTACATTTGTCTTGTAACCATTGTTTTTTAGCATCGCGGATTTTTCTTTTGATCTCTGTGTTAATATGCTTATACTATTCTTCATTTTTACCTTTCGGTAGTCTTCGAGAATTCATCAATAACAAATGTCACTCATCCATTCTTTCTGTTACTTTGGTTTTTCTCTCTTCAGAATATTTTTAGGGGGCTCCAGCACGTTCTTTTTAATAATGGCCCAGTGTTTATTAATGTCTAGTTCTGGTATCTTCTCTGTCTTTTCAAGTTTTTCAAGATTTGCCTAAATGCTTGTATACCCTCAAAGTTTAATTATTCGAACATTCAACCTTATATTGATTTAAAGAATTGATATCTTACTTGTTTGGGCTTAGGTATTTGTACTCTTTTAAGTTTTATTCAGAAGTGTGCCACTACTGGATGGTGGTCTGACTATATCTGCTCCTGGATACGTTGTTTATGGTTATATAATCTATTTGATTTCGTATAATATGGTCTTTAGTGTCCCCAGGAGATTTCCACGTGTATACTCGTCTTCTTGGTAGTTGATAAAATGTGTTTTTAATTATAAAATTATTTTCCTGGCAAAATTGCAATAGCCGATCACCTCTTTCATTTCTTTGGCCGAGACCATATTTTCCAACCCATTTGCCACATTCTCCTTTCCCAATTCCAATTCCCCATTATCATGGTAATGTCTCTAGACTTAACAACTTTGAGTGTTTGTTCAATAGTTTTATAAAATTCTTCTCTGTTTTCTTCGCTACTCTCCGCTGTAGGAGCATATATGTGAACTGTATTTAGTTTTTCCTGAATGGTTGACAGTTGCCCAACATGAGGGGACCCAAATCCGAAAGGAGGAGGGTCTTACACGGTGTTGTACAGTCGATCGTCCTATACGCGGCACCGGTCTAGAGCGAGGCGGTAGAGATAACGGCTTATAGGATGTTCATGACACAAGTGGAGAGAACAAGTCTGTTATGAGTAGCATGCGCTTACAGGACTGTCTGCGGCAGCCTTGTGAACCATCACTGGATGTGTTCCGTTGCATGTTTGGCGGTGGAAAGAAAAGAGCTCTGTGAGAGAAGAGGCCCAACCTTACTGTGGCCAAGAGAAGATAGGAAAGGGAAAGGCCAGTTAAAAGATGGAAAGAAGAATGGAATAACACGGAGGATGTGGCACAGTGGACGAAAATGCTGATCCCGAACATAAGAGATTGGTGAACTGTGGCCACAGGCGACTGGATTATTTCCTGACGCAGGTGCTCACAGGACACGGTGTTTTAGGGCCTACCTCTCTAGGTTCGGAAAGGCTGACACAGGTGAATGCCTATATTGTGGAAACTCGGACACTGTGACACATGCGATGTTTAGATTGCAGCAGATAGATAGTATAAAGGAACAGAATGGAGAGAGAGAGAGACAGGTGTCAATTTTGTTAGTGAGAGAAATGATTGAGAAAATGATTGAAAATAAATCAGGTTGGACTAACATACACAACTATATCCGTTCAGTGATCAAGAAAAAATAAGAGGAAGAAAGACAGCTGGACCAACGGCAAAGGTGAGAGTGAAAGATGCTGGCAGCTGAAGCCAGAAAAGTGGGCCAGACTGTATGAGTTTTGAGTGCGTGAGTCAGACTGTGGGAAAGAGAAAATGCCCGTCTGGGAATGATGCCGTACTAGAAACGATGAGGGTCTTCTACGAGCTACCTCGACCGAGACATTGAGCCTCCTTGATGATGAATGAAGTGTGGATGAATGGAGAATGAATAAATGAAGTAGTGCTTTGGAAGTGATGCCGGCCTTACAGCGGCCAATCCTCTTTCGGATCGCTGGATGACAGAGGAAGGTCTAGTTTAGTAGGTAGGCGTTCGTCGTAGACTCGGCGACGAGGGGGCATTTTAAAGTCCCTCCGGAACTATCGCTGGGAGTACGAAGAACGAATCCTGCACTAAGGTCAGTCAGGCGACGTCCTGGACTGAGATGTCTTTTGAGAATTTCAGACACCCCCTCTATAAAGACGAAAAAAAGATCTGCAATAAGATTCCACCCTTCTAATCTATCGCTCAAACCCGTTTCTACCAAGAAGTTGAATATTCCTGTAAGATTCTCTACATATTGGTACATCGTAGTTGTTAGATTTGGTAATATAGTTGCTATGATGGGTTGTTATAAAGCTGATCTTCCGAAAAATATATCTTCTATTATTTTTGCAGAATTTTAAGGTACTAATGCAGATTACACGGCTAAAAAACGGGTATTTTCAAAAACATTTTTCTCAGCTCCTTTATTAGATACGAACATGAATTTTTTTAAATAATATTTTATCTTAATCAAGTAACCCCGTTGGATTTTTTTTTCATATGTGCCAATCCTGACTATTAGTGTCCGCAATCACACACCTACTTTTTGAGACGTTAACTTAGATGCATTCGAGAAAACAGGCTATTGATGGGAACTAAAAAACTTTTTTGTTTAATTCAAAGATAAAATAATATTTAAAGATCATGTTCGATTCTAATATTTCATATTCGTATCTTATAAACAAGCTGAGAATTTTTTTTATACTAGTACGCTTCGTATGCTCATAAACTATAAACTTACCTGTAGTTCCTTTCCAGAACGCACTAAATCCTTCCTCCTTAAATATCTTTCTAGCCGCATCCAATAACCCATTGTAGGTCGTTTGTCCCGATCTCGCAACGACTTGAAGCCTAGTTTTAATTACATCAGCAGGAGTTACTAATGCTGCTGCAGGCATACCAGCTACCATACCAGCCGAGAGAAGTGTCAATGGACTATTGTATCCATTCTCGTCAGCAAATTTAGCCTTAGTGTGTGCGTAGACTGGGAAGTAGATACCGCTGAAAGGTATATCACGAAGGAAACAAGCCCTAAAATAATTGGAGATATAAGCGTCATTAAATAAATTGGTCCATTGAAAATAATTAATGGTTCTGCTGTTTAAACAACACAACAAAATTTATATTGCCAGTTATTTTTCGTAGTCTGTTTGTTTATAACGGACACAAAAAAACGTTGCTACAGATTATCAATTAAGTTAGCGAAACCTTTTAAATTCGTTGTGTATAATTGTGTTGTTAAATAACGAGGATTATGTAATAAAAGGCAACATAATTGTAGCTAGAGTGTGGTGTGAGTAATAAATTGCAGCAAGAGGAAGTAAAATGCTAAATACACTCCAAATAAACCCAGTAAATATGTTCAGTAGAAAATATCTACGTACAAGGAAACAAAAGTCCCTCTATTATAAGAAACAAGTCCGCATTCCGAAAGAAGAAGTCCCTCTACAAGCAGACACCCCAGTAAATTTTAGCAATGATTGACTGGGGTTCTAAATAATTCATTATCCCTTCCAAACTTCCAAATTTCCATGTACTCCAGGAAACTTAACGCGAAACAAAATCGGCTTGCGACGGCAAATAAATTTATCTCTTTTGGATAGGCTGGCCTAGAAACATTCTAGACAACCCTTATGGGGAGTGCGCAATAAAATTTCTCAGCATGAAATCGAATTAAACCAGGATATTCGCTAACAAGCCATTTTAAAAAATTCTCGTTAATCACTATCTCTCACTGACAATTTTTTTTTTTAGATAAGAGTAAGATAAAAATACGTTCATTGGCGTTTCCATTTCCACTTCGGAAATCGTTCTCAAAATACAAACAGTAAATTAAACAACTTTTGTTTTTTGTTACATATAGTGAAAAATTCTTCTAATAATTTAATTTTATCTGACTCATTTATATTGACAATTCAGACAAAACATTATGAATTTTAAAGTAGGCGTCAGAAAAAATCATAGCATGTAATTCATCTTTAAAAAGACAAACACATGACATGATGACAGTAAAATTCTCCTGTTAGTGATTCTATAGTCAATTATGAGGGAAAAACTAGGAAAAAACCTCATAATACTATCCCGACATGGTAAGTATTTGTTCGTGCATTTAGTTTACCTTCAATAAACACCAAAATTCTGATTTTATATGTTTCGTTATTTAAAAAACACAAATGATGTATCCTCTATGTGTTACTGAGTTACTAATACTGGTATTTTCTTATTAATAACTTCCTCTTTCAATATTGGTAACCAGATCCTACTACATTCTGCCGAGGAATTTGCGACACAATAGGCCTCGTTTAGCATAATTATAGCCGCTTCTTTGATTTTTCTTTTTTTTACCATCCGTTTCTTTTAGGACTACATTTGAAATATTTCATTGAACCCATGTTCATTATCCCATGCGTGTTTACATATTTGAGATCTTATCTTAACAACATATTTCATTAACATTTCAAAAATGAATAAAAAAATAAAAATTTACACGTGGCTGTAATTTTCGTCTAGATTATCCATTGCCATCTCTTGTGTACAACTCACATCATCGTTATGCACAGCGTGTTCAGACTGGTTATCATTCCTTAATAGCTTACAATAATAGAAAAGTTGTTCAAAATTAGCCCATTCTTCACCAAAGTAGCAACTTTTGTACGTCATTAAGCTTTAATAGGTTGATGTTTACCATTCCTGGCTGTTGTATTGTCTTAGTCGGTATTTCCCCTAGGTTCTTCCTTCTCTTTAAAATGCTTTTATAATTTCCCATATCATGTTCATACGCGACTTCCCCACGAACCAAAATTTTGCCATTGTTATTTTTTTTTAATAAAAAACCTCTTTGTAGGCGCACATTTGAAGTGCCACTGCCCTGGCTGCCTGACTATTTCATGGCAATACTCCTTCCAGTTGTATACAATGCACTCGTTGGCTAGAGTTATTACAGTTCCGTGCTCTTTAAAAATGTCAATGTATTCCTCTGGATTGGCGATGATTCTGTCGAACACACTACTTGTTCTATCCTGGCGAACACACGATCCGGGGCAAGAAGCTGTGGCCAACTACAGGAAAAATAAATTGGATTTCCCTCACATGTTCAGGAGCATGTCTACTTAACCAAAGCATTAACATTCCGAGGACAGTTGAATTTTTGTTCTGCCCGGGACAACCATCTGATACTCGTTTTATTCGGGTTATACTTTCATTAAAGATTTCAATTTCAATTGACCTTTTCCATGCTCTACTTTATTCCATGCATAAATAAACACATTGTCTTTTTTCAATGGTGACATTGTACTGATATAGCTGCCTGGCATAGTATGCCCATTGATTCGGGACCCTGGGTAGAGTTTGATTTTTTTGGCAATCAAAAGAAAATGTCATTATCATTGGGTCTTTTTCTTTTAATTCAGAATAAAAGCTTTTGCTTTCAGAGAATGGACACGTTTGCAATACATTAGATTTGTTTTTTTCTGTTTGTCCTTTTCTATTTTTATTCTTTCCACTAATTCGATGCAGGTAGAACATAGAAAGATATCGAGATGGAAGATGGAATAAAGAAATTGGTCGCTGGAGACCATATAATGCAAAAAGGTCAAGAGGTCGACCACAAATGAGATGAAAAGATGACATTGAGCAAAGCGCAGGTACAATGTGGAAAAGACAAACAGAAGACAGAGACAAATGAGAGAGGCCTAATTCAACACATGATAGATTTTGAGCTACATAGAGATAGAACATACATCTGTCCTTGGAGTTCCAAAACCAATATTGAAATTGCAATTAAAAACCATACGAAAATAGCTTTCTTTTACCACAAGTCTATGGTAGATTGTTTTTGATATAAGCGCCACATACATTTAATCTTCAAATAGCTTGGTAAATAGATCCGAATAGCGGTTTTATTTTGACAGTAGTGAATTTCTATGCCTCTAAAAGTTTTAATTAAAATTCTTAACGCTTTGTAATTTTTGAGCAAAATGTATAGTTCTCCTATTTCCTCCTGTTGTTTTAAATGGAACCTTTCCATGTTTGTTAACACGGGCAAGGATTCATTGTACACGTGCTTAGTTATACCTTAAAAACTTTTCCCTAAATACACGATACAGTTTTAATCTCTTATTAGTAATAAAATATTCTGTTGTTACCGTTTTAACATCCTTGTGTTTACAATGAGGTTGACTTCCATAAACATACTTAACAGTCTTGGGTTGATTTTGTTTCATCCCTATAAAATTTTTGATGCAACGTTATTTCACTTTTTGTAAGTTTATTATATTTATAAATTTTCTTTTTGTCTTTGTCTCTGTTTTTCTTCCAATTGCTCTAATTTCTCTTTCTTTTTCTTGTTAAATAAACTTCTTGTGGAATTAATAAATCCATAAGTTTATTTATGCAGATAAAATTAATGAAAATATAGAATATTAAACCTTTACAAAGATATGTGCATAAAAATAAACAAAACAATGATCAATGCTAGTTTCATGTGAAACTTAACCTATCTACACACCATGATACTATAACAAGATATGCTCACTTGCTGTTCTAATTTTAATTGACTTTGCGCATGTCGTCATAGCGAGATAAAGCCAGTGGACTTGTATGTATCATATGTTAACGATGCATCATATGGCAACGTTGTTCCATTACTATAATGAACAACTTCAAAACTTAAACTGTTAAAGGTAAGTATACCTCGATGCCATATATTGCACTAAGAAGTCATAACTAGTTACTTTCTGTGCAAACGTGTTTTGAAAATTAATAAGTAATTTGTAAAATTAATTAAAGAAATATATAAATCTACGAATTGATTGCGTGTATTACAAACAAAATAAATATTGCTACAAAACATAAATTAAATATAAAAGGCCAGCAAATTGTAAAGAATTTGACCATAAAGGAAAAGCGGGTCAAACTTGAGACTTTATGAATATCATTTAGACATCTATTTTAAAATCTTTTATGATTTTTCTTTTGCGGTATTGTAATTATCTGTAATATTTTGATTTAGAATTCTTATTTTAAATACATTTTACTTCTAAAAACAGTAATTTTACATCTTCGCTAACATTTACATATTTTGCAGCTTCTATTAAGTTTTTTAAATAATTTTTTGTTATTTTTAATATGTCGCCATTATAACTACGAAAAATATGTTCCAGTTCACTACATACTACATACATCAAAAGTAACTTTTTTTAAAGACCTATCAAAAATAAAGTATTACTTCAAGTTCTATTAAAATGGGCATTAGTATATATTATTATCTATAGAAACATTTATTATTATCCATAGAAACATTTGCTCTGCTGTTATTAATATTAATTCTTTTTCTTTATATAACTAGAATTGCATCAAATGAAAAATTTAAATTTAATTTTAAAGTTTAACTTACTGTCATTAATTTTGACAATTTAGCATTTTGGCAAGTTGTCTCGGGTTTGCGTCACAAGAACAATGCGCGTTGAGTTATCTGGTTTTGTTATAGTATCATGTCAACACACGTTGTAGGTGGCGCGCATTATCACTGAGTCGCCGAATTAACGCAGTTGGCGGGTTTTGGAACTAACCCTCATTTTTAATATAGTTTAAGTATGGTAAATGGCCGCTTTTAAAAATTTTTCATTTATCAGACGGAAGCTTTCAAGAATCTTTAACTCTTTTTTTTTTAATTTTTTGCAAATGCCGGTTTTGGAACTAGAAGACTCAATTAATATTTAACATTCCTAATTAGACAGCGAACGAGTAAAAATCGTTTTATCGTTTATCTAGATAGATATCTCTGTTATCTTGCAACGATCATTTTGCCTACCACCTAGGGTATTACTATAATTAAAAATAATACATTTTTAAACATTTACACTTTTAAATGTTGACAATCGTTGCGAATCGAATCTTTTATTAACAAGTATTCTTTTATTGCTTTACTTCTCATTTAATGCCTGTATTTTGTTAGTTATTTTTCATGCAATTTTTAATTTAAACCTCTTTGGAATAAATATATGATGACTATAAAAAAATGTGTAATGAATCGATGCGAAGAACCGCTATTTTTTTATGCTACTCGTGACGTCGCCATCTTGTAGCCCTAGATCCGTGACACTCGCCTAATAATAATAAAAAAAGCTTCGCTTCAAAAATTTAAATTTAGTAAACAAAATATTCTTTATCCTAAGAAATATGTCCCACCTTGCACCTTTGTACAATCCTAGAAAACCTAAGTCTTTAACTACCGTCCAGGCCCGTACTTTTGCACCTCCAGCAATTTCACCAGCAACTTGAAGTCTGATTTTCACTATTTCCAGAGGATTGGTAAATACCACTTGAGAACCACCGGCCTAAAATACGAAAAAAAATTAAATGATAATTTTTTAAACAATTATAAAGTCTTTCAATACTTACACAACAACCAGCAAGTACTTCACTCCATAATGGAATATTACCATTTTTGTCCATAAGTTTGTCCCTGACCAAATCGTTTACCTACAAATGGAGGAAAAATAGGATATAATACACTTTACTAAAACAGCTATATGTTAATTGTTTATTGATGTCGAGAAACTTACCAAAATATTTTCCGACAAAGTACTGTAATATTAAATAATTAAAGTGTTAAAACATGTCAAAAAAATTATAAATTAGTTTCATAAGAAAAAGTTAAGGACTCAGATACGACAAACAAATTTTATGGGATTCCCTAAAATCACACACAAAAGGTTTAGGTAGTTAAACTAAAGCAAAAAAAAAAGAAAACGAAATAAAAACAATGCAAAAAACCGTTAAATATGAGTAATTAGTCACAACTTCTGATTGAAATAAGACCAGCAATTCACGAACACCATCACAAAAACATCTAGAGTGGAATACAAAGGTTGCCTTTTTAGTTTTGCATATGGACATAAAGACAAAAAATATAGGCATAGACCTATAGTACTTAACTGCTTTTCAAAATCTGTCCCACTAAGATCGATACATTTTTAAAGGCATCGATGACATCTTCTGGCGACTGGAATCCCTGTCCAGGCATTTAATTCTTGATCTTTGGGAACTTGAAGAAGTCGTTGGGACTTAGGTCGGGGCCATAAGGTGTCGGATGTAGGATTATTTATGTTGTGTGCTTCTTTGTGGGAGTTTCGCGATAACTTCTGGCAAACAAAAGATTATATACCGTTACCGTTCTTCTATATTTTAAGCCAATTGTTACCACATGACTCGATTTGGACACAAAAGTTGCTACCATTTTCTTTGACACACTTCTAGAACGGATCTATTTTGTTGGTTTTTTTCGTTTTTTATTGTTTTTTTTTTTATTTTCTGGTTCGTAGGAGTAAATCTAAGATTCGTCGCCACTAACAATACTATAAACATTTTTTGAGCTTCCTTTGTTGAACCGTTCCAATGTTTGTTGACGCCAATTGACGCGAACGAATTTTTGCTCTTCTGTGAGCAAATGAGGGGTCCAATGGGAAACCAACTTCGTAACACCCAGTTCTTCATCTAGGATCTTTGGGATCGAAGTTTTTGAAATACTCAAATATGTCTCTATTTCCCGGTATGTTACATGGCGGTTATCCTTAATTAGCTGATGAACCGCTTCAATGTTTTGTTGAGCGACTGGTGTTGTGGGTGTACCCGGCCTAGATTCGTTGTCGAGACTGGAGCGAGCACGTTGAAATTCGTAGTAGCAGTGGGAAATAGTTGACTGGTGTGATGATTCATTCCCAACATAGAAATTTTCAGCGAGACATTGCTATTGAGATAATCCTCTACGAAAATTGTAATTAAAAATTATTGTTCGAAAATGTTCTCGGCTAAGATCTATTTTTCGACCGACGTGCTAATTTCAAAAATTCACTGTATATACACCACTTGTATCGGAAGATTTTATTGGTGGCGCCTTCCAAACGGCTATATGCAAAATTAAAAAGACAAACCTCGTACGATGAAGACAATTAAAAATAACAGCACAGCAAGTCGAAAACATAGTCCAGGGTTTTGGCCTCTTATCAAAGGTTTTAACAAAAAATGACTACCCGTTGTCATTTATTAACAAACATTTCCACAAGATAGAAAAAGAAAATAACAAAACACCACTAGCAATTCAGAATCACTCACAAGAAGGGACTCAAGGATGACAAAAATACCATATGTAAAGGACATATCAGAAAAATTAAAAAGGATAGGAAATAAGTATAACATCAGAACAACACTTAAAACAATCAATACACTCAGATCTATCCTGTCTAAAAACGTAACCGGCTTTGGTTGCGAATACTAAAAGAAGAAGTCAACAACAAGAATATACCAATAATAGGGGATTAAGAAACTCCGAGATTCATCGTCTTACGCAATAGAGGGACACAATACACGAACACTGACCCACACATAAAGCGTTTAAGCAGATACAAATAGTGCAGATACACACATAATAATCAGAATTGTGTAGTTCGATAGGGCATAAAATTCATCCTCATATATTTCCAGCCATGCATGGCTGTTGCCCATGACACCGAGGCCAAATGCCAAGTAAGTCTTCTTCAACTTTTTATGTAGATATGACTCTGTCTGTTTTTCAATGTGCCTCCAGTAAATTCTACTTTTCTATTTCTTGTTGTTCTTGAGTCCTTGATGTTCTCCACCTTGCATCTACCTCGTATATCTGTACTTCTAGCTTTGTCTCATACTGTTATCATCAATTTTTCTAAGTATTTTCATCTCTGCTGTTTCTAACATCTTTTTTGTCCTCTGTGTGCCAGGTCGTGTTTTTCAGGCAATCTGCGATTCTGTTTGCTATATTCACTTAATCTTCCACTAATGTTTCGAGCTTTACGTAGCCAGATAACATTATGCCTAGAGATATTTAAACTCCATCATTTGTTCTATTATCTGACCTTCCAGCTCCAATTTACATCTTAGTAAATTTGCTGCTATAACCATGCATTTTGTCTTTTTTGGAGAAATAACATGTCAAATTTTCTAGCTTACTTACTTACTCCGTGGCGTTAGAACCCTTCGTGGGTTTTAGCCGACTCGACAACATGCCTCCACTGTTTTCTGTCTTGAGCAACCTCCATCCAATTCTCCACGCCCATAGTGCTTAGGTCTCCTGCTATATTATCTCGCCACCGGATACGAGGGCGTCCGCGTGGTCTCCTTCCAGTTGGGACTTCCTCCCACACCAGTCTTACTGTTCGTTCGTCAGAATGTCTTCTGAGGTGTCCTGCCATTGGAGTCTTCTGGACTTTATTTATTTTATGATGTTGGCGTCTGGGTAAAGTTCTTCAAGCTCTTTATTAGTTCTTATCCTATATTGTCCTGATGCTTCATCAAGCACCGGACCAAAGATCTTCCTTAGGATTTTTCTTTCCCAAACACGTAGTCTCTCTTCATTTGCCTTTGTTATCGTCCACGTTTCGCTTCCATACATCACAACGGGTCGTATGATTGTTTTATAGACCTGTATCTTCGTACGTCGTGTTAGTTGTTTTGATTTTATAAGGTTTTGGAGGGCAAAAATACATCTGTTGCCGGCCTGAATCCTGTTGTTTATTTCTTGTGATCCGTTATTGTCTTCAGTTATTGTTGTTCCAAGATACTTGAATTCTCTAACGCGCTCAAAGTTAAAGTCATCGATGGTAATGTTCTGACCGATTCTGTCTCTGCTTTGGTTATTGCGGCTCATATACATATATTTCGTCTTGTGTTCGTTGATTTGGAGCCCATCTTCTCTGCTTCCTTCTCAAACCTTACGAAAGTCTCCTTCATCCTTAATTGCGTGTTTCCTATTAGATCTATATCGTCTGCAAATGCCAGTAGTAAGTTTGGTCCTTCTCGATGAAATACTGATATTCGGTTTTTCAATTCTTGCACTTCTGATTATGTGTTCCAGAGCAAATTTTCTAGCGGTTATATTAAATTGGGGCAGCATACTTCGTAAATCATCTTCACTTTGAGACAGTAGTATTACGTCGTCTGCATAGTAGATTATTTTAAGTTCCTTTTCTTCCATTTGGTATCCTTTTTTAGTTCTTACTCTTTTATTATTTCAACCATAATCAGGTTGAACAATAAAGGCCTCAGGGAATCTCCTCGAGGCCTTTATTGTTCTTGTATTGTTGATTATTTAATTTGTCCTAGAGGTATTTCTCTTGCGTACAGTAAGTGGATAACGTCCTTTAATTTGCCCATCAAATGCCTTCTTAAGGACCACTAAACATAGATATGCCGGTTTGTTCTATTCTAATGATTTCACTTGCACTTGCCTCATTATAAATATAACGTCGGTGAATGATCTTCTCGACTTAAAACCTTGTTGTTCTTCTGCTAGTATTATAATTTCATTCAGATTATTTGTTATCACTTTGGTTGTTTATTTTAGTATTGTGTTTAATAAATTAATTTCTCTTTTTGAAGAAAACTATTAGCATGCTTGATCTACATTCTTAAGGAATTCTGTTACGTTCTATTATTTTGTATTAATTTTAATATTTGTTTGGTCAGATCGGATCCTTAGTTCGTTCGGTATTCTGTCCTCTTCTGGTGGTTTTCTATTTTTTAATTTTCTTATTGTTTCCTTTAACTCTTGCTCCTCAATATTTATTTTTTCGTTTGTCGTCACATCAAATAGGGATCGAAAGTAGTCTGCCCGTGTTTTCTTCCGAATATGTTTCGTTTTGATTAGTTCGTTTGCCAAGTAAGCAAATTTTCAAATTTTTAAGAGACAGAACTTCAACTTTTGCATTTATACACTCAATAAAATTTTTAAATGACACTTTAGTGTTATTATAAACCATAAATAGTTAGTATGTATTATAAACATTTTTAAGTTAGTTGTGTAAATTACACTTGCAATTGTCAACTAAAGAATTTGTTATATAATTGTCGTTTATTCTCAATAAGGTATTTCATAAAAAAATGAAATGTTATAGATCAAAAGAGACATGTCAACATTTTTGACAGATAGCAATGCGATTTTGACATATTTAGTTGACGACAAGTATGGTATAAAACAAAATAACACAATATCACTAAGGAAATATTGGTAAAACGTTACTATACAATCAGGTCCAAGATGAATCAACATTTGACAAAAAAGAAAATAAAGTGCCATTTCGACTGACATTGAAAGAACAACGCGCTTAAGTATCAAATTAAAGAAACATTGTTTGGAAAAGGGTTTAACACATTAACCGCCACGTTAATTTTTTTTTTATTTCAGGCTTTATGTCTTTTTTATTAAATTATTCAAAAAATGCACTATAATAATGATAATTTAAAATTAACTCTTAATAATGTTTTTTTCTTCATATGGTTGTGAATTGTATTTAACTTACGGAGCGTTAAATCCAACATGTTCGTTGCAGATTATATTCACAGACTCAGCTTGTCATTTATTTTCTATAAAGATATCGTTACGGTCAAAGTGTTTCTCGAATCTGTAACGTATTCATCTTTGTATCTGTTAGTATGGCGAAAATATTTAATACTTTCGAAGAACAACATCAGTATTTGTAAAAAATATATGACGAGATCATTGATATGAGTGATGGGGAAGTAGGTGATGCCTTCGAAAGTGAAATTCTTTCGTCTTTGTCATACTCGGAAGATTGTGAAAAAGAAAGACCGACTGCAAATAAGTTAAAACGTAGAGGCAGAACAGTTTACAAGCCACGTAGAGGAAATTATAGATAGTGTAGTTTTTTGTAAAGAACAAATCTATGAAAATTTAATTTTTTAATAACTTTATACAGTGAACATGGCGAAACTGCCTCTGTCTCGAGCTATTCTAAAGAGTTGCTCAGCTTTCCTTATTCCTGTCCATTCCCTGATATTCTTCAACCAAGAGGCCTGCTTTCTACCAATTCCTCTGCGTCCTTCGATTTCACCCATCATAATAAGTTGAAGAATATTATATCGGTCTCCCCTTACTACGTGTCCAAAATAGACCATCTTTCTACATTTCATGTTATCAAGCAGCTCGCGAGCAGAATTTGCTCTCTCAAGGACTGCCACATTTGTCAGCATAGCCGTCCATGGAATTTTTAGTATACGTCTGTGCCCCACATTTCAAAGGCTTCCAGACGATTAATGGTGGATATTTTTGATGGCTATGCTTCGACACCGTATAAGAGGACTGATCAAATGTAGCATTTAACCATGCGCTTTCGAAGTTGAAGTTGCAAGTTATCATTACGGAAGAATGACCTCATTTTTAAAAATGTCCTGCGGGCTATCTCAATTCTACATTTTATCTCTTGATCTGGATCTAGTTGTTCAATAATATTGCAACCAAGATAATTAAAACTGGACACTCTTTGAATAATATGACCATCAACATATAATCGTGCATCTTGATGTGCTTAACGGCTAAACACCATGTGTTTAGTTTTTGAACAGTTTATGTTTAGGCCAAACTTTCTTCCCACTGTATCAATGGCATTTAAAAGGCATTGTAGTCCATTCATGTCATCACTTCCCTGTCTGACACCTCTTTGTATTTTACATATTTCTGTTGATTTTCTGTTTATGCAAGCTGTCGCTGTTTGACGCCAGTATAACTTTTCTATTCTATGAATCGTATGTCTTGACTATCAACTCCTTTATCTTTTAATATTGTAATTAATTTGTGATGCTGTACTCGATCAAAGGCCTTTTCATAGTCAATAAATACAGCAAAGACGTCTTTCCTTTGATCTCGACATTTCTGCAGTAATACATTTAGTGCAAAGTGCGTCCCGAGTTCCACTTTCTGAAGCCAAATTGTGTTTCATCCTAGTCTTCTTCACATTTATCTCTGATTCTACTGTGGATGATGCGTAGAAATATTTTCAAAGTGTGACTCATAAGGCTTATCATTCTATAATCGCTACAGTTTTTCGGGCGTTGTTTTTTTGGTAGTGCTATGAATTTGGACTTTAACCAATCTTAGTGGTTATCACCAGTCGAATAAACATCATTGAAAAGCTTGACCAGTATTCCAATGTTCTCCTCATTTATAATTTAACATATATGTTGGTATGTTATCAGGGCCACTACTAGAAATTAGGCGTCTTATTTTCAACGGTTATTAAGATATTAATTTTCATATAAATCAGCAAGCTAATTTTAGTAATCTAACTACGGAGTCATGTACAAATTATATGCGTATCAATAACGTATAAACTGTGAAGTAAATTCGTTTAACATAGCGTAGAATCACAGTCTGTGGAATCATATTTAACTCACAGAGCGCCTGGGCCAAAAGCGTGTGAGTTAAATACTACTCACGTGGCGTTTAATGTGTTAAGATATACAATGTATATGCAAAAAAAGTGTAGAGCAATAGTAGATCACAAACTTTTAACCAGTACACATCACATAACACTAGTCCATTATAGAAAATAACGAAATGAAAATGATAAAAATAATATGTAACGGCTTTATAATCTTGCAGAAAGTAAAATTTATCAAATAAAGTATACTTACCGTCAATTTAATGGCTTTTTCGGGAGCCACACCCAATAGTTGAGGTACCAATCCCCTGTACAACCCAAATACACCTTCGTGTCTAATAACCTTTTTGAAGCAATCAAAACTATTTCGGTACATCAATTCTCCAATAAAGGAGCCTGCCCTCTGATTTTGCATACGTGTTTTAACCAAATCTATGGGATATACTGCAGTGGCACCAACGGCTGAAAAAAAAACAAAATATATAGTAAATATCACGATCTTTTTTTAAATTAATATTGTAAGTTATTCATAAACTAGATTTATAATGACACCACATATCTTCTAGTTTTTTTTTTGTATTTAAAATTTACACTGTTAGCAGAAGTCAACACAATTTCTGAATAAAACTTCGTTTGGCTACAAAATTGCGGGACATAATGTATGAAGGACGAGAGACAGAGTTAAAGCACGAATCAATTGAAGACTGTATTCATCAAGCGGCAAAAGAAGCTCTGGGAAATAAAGAGGTTTATCAAAGTGACAAAGCTTATAAAACGTGGCTAGTTCCGAAAACTCCAAAGATAAACTCCAGAGAAGTTAAAAGAGTAGTAGCAAGAAGGAAAAATAAATGAAAATTGTGATGATATGGAGAGATGTATAAGAGGAACAAAGGTTTCACAGGCGTAAAAGACCGTAAAGAATCTAAGAAAATAAGGAAAAGATGGAAACATAGTATGTAAAGACTTGGGAGAACACTACCAAGTACTATTAAAAATATATTAAGTCAATTTAAAGGAGAAATGGTCGAAATCAGATCACTAGAAGAAGAAAAAGGAGTGGAAGAAATGCTAGCAGATTTATTTACTGACTTAAGGCTGTTTTAGCAGTTCAAGCACACTGCGATTTGAAATGGGCGTATCACTTACATTTCTACACTGCTTACGCGAGACTATCTTTACTCAGTGGCGTCGGCCAACGGGCAACAAATGCATTACTCTCCATTCAAATTAGTTTTAAACACGAACTAACTGAGATCAGAACTAACACGCTCATGAGATTTGAAGTCACGAAGGCGATAACGGTGAACCTATGATGAGTAACACGACAATGATGAGTAACACGTTTCACTATTAGATTTTAGTATTTTTTAGCAATTTTTTTCAAAGTTTGAACACGCTTTTCTCGATTATTACTGGACACAGAAAGGTGAAAAAAATCAAGGATTACAGAAAAAAAAATCTTTCAAGAGGTGGGCGTAAAAAGTTTGGTTATAATAGAACGTTAAACAGTATAATCCAATTTTTCAACAGAAGTAACAAAAAAATAAAAACAGTAAAACCATCATTTAAAAGCAACATAGTTTCGAATATTGTGTCCAAATCTCGAGACATTTTGTCGGTAAATAACAGTTCCTAGGTTTTGGTGCACCGATAATACAGCCTTAATCTTAATTAAGAGCGATAACATCCCATCAGACTGACGGAAATCAGGACCATCATCCCAAGATGACGGAAATATTTGTGGAAACTACAGAGGAATTAGCATCACCAGTTCAATAGGGAGATTATATGGCAAAATTATAAAAAATATAATTGAATCAGAGTATGAAGAAATAGAAGAACAAACTGTATTCCGGGCAGGATAATATATTTACTCTTCAACAGTTAAAAGAAAAACGTAAAGCTCGTAATCTACCAAGACATTTCGTACTTATAGATCAGAAAAAAGTTTAGGATATTGAAAAAGCTATAAGTCAATTCAAGGAACATCAGAAATATACACAGAATAATGAATACAGCAAGGACGGAAATATACAAGAATTCTCTAATTTGGTCTTTGGTCAAACCGCATAGCAATGAAAACAAAATATATACATCCAGAACCAACAGTTATTTTATATGTCGGACAAAAGTAAAGCAAAGGCCCTCAGTTCCGGGCAGACCTTAGATGGTCCGAGGGTGCTAAGAATCTCCCGCGTTGGACAAGATGTTATTCATAAAGAAGCGACATGGAACGTCAATAGTTTGTGCATCTTGGGAAAGTTACATAACCTGCTCAAAGAAATGGGGCCACTAGAACTGAAAGCACTGGGTGTAAGTGAAATGAGGTGGTCTGGCTCAGGTATTTCTAACAAAAACTTTACAGCGTACTATTCCGGTAGCGACGCCACAGATAATTACCACAGGCATGGAGTTGCAATAGTGCTTGATAATAGAATTGCAATGTCGGTTATAGATTCTCATACCTTTTTGAAATAGAGCAATAATAGTGAAGTTAGCAGCTCAACCTATTAATATCAACCTAATCCAAGTTTACGCACCCACAGTTGATAAACCTGAAACTGAAGTGTTAGATTTCGACAAAGATATAAACCAAGCACTAAAGATCGCAAAGAAAAATGATATAACATCATAGTGGGTGATGTGTGGCCGCTTACCCTGATGAGGACATTTCGCCTGACCACAAACCTCTAATCGCGTAAAGGCTGATTTATAAACTTTACGTTGGCGTTGGCGCTGACGTTCGCGTTACAACATGGTCAAATGGGAAACTCGTATGTCTATTTATCACATCGTTCGCCGTTGGCATTCGGTTCCGTTCAAGATGAACCAACTTTATCTTTTGCCGTTGGCCGTTGTAACACAGAATACACCAACCCTTCTGTGGTTGTAGTTACGATCACAGATCATAAAAAAACTGTATCTTTGTCATCGCAGCCAATAGCAATCCGGAAAAGTGACTGTGACTGAAAAAGTAACAGTTACCAGCTGTAGTCCGTTTAAAGAGGTTTACTCTCCCGACACTGGAACTCATTCAAACCATGGGTGTATTTTATCTGAAGCCAAATTTAACTTAATATCAAACATTACATATTTAAAACAACATTATGTACAAGTTTTTGTAACTACATTTATTTTATTTGGGTTTTTACCCAAATATTTTGGTGGCTCAGGCATGTCAACCTAGTGTTTTTTTTTAAACCTAATGATGGAATTGTCATTCCGAAAACGTTCGTTTTTTTATGTAGCCCTTTTAAGGGTTTTTAAATATACCAAATTACAAAGATTAACCTCTTTTTTTGGTTTAATATTGGTACGACTGTCTAACAATTTTACTAAACTAAACCCAAAATAAACGTTAACAGATGCTTCCATCCAAAATATAGGAATAAAAAACTTACCACCAGCAATCGAACCCAATGCAAATCTGTAAGTACTTTCTAAAATTTGAATAACAACTCCTCTATCTTCCGGGCTCTAAAAACAAAGAATTATTCATCAATGTAAGTTTCACTATCACATATAGAACAATATTATTTAGTAATTTTTACAGTATTGTTTAAATTAAGGCATAACATTGACAAACATTTGTTTCTCTAAAGGAATTTTCTTAATGTTGCAATTATTATGCCCATTAGCTTCTAAAACTTTTAATAAATAAAATTTGTTGGATTTGAAAATAATGAACAGTATTTAATTAGTGATAGTAGTGAAGCGAGTGTATATGAAACTGCAATTGAGTAGAAATATATTAGCCAAACAATTTGGAGAAACAAATTCATAGTAACTAAAAGTAATGACAGAAGAGAGATAACCCCCTCTGAGGCTCAGTGGTAAGAGCGCCTGCTTTAAACCTAAAGGTCGTGAGTTCGAATCCCACCTGGGTGGAAATTTTCGTTCATTAAAAAAAAAATTAATAAATGAAAATAATTTCTATCCTTGTGTGATCGGTACACACCGGAGGGACCGCAGACGTTCGGATACAATTAGCGTCTCTTAGCAAAGACAATGACGTCGACTTTGCTAAGTATCAAGACAATTACTCTACACACACATATACTACACCTCAAATTGTAAGATTGGCGAATGGATTTAGTGTCCGCAGTCATTTAAACACAAACAAACAACAACAGAAGAGAGACTATATTCTAACAATTTTTCTGTGCGAATTTTTATTTTGCCATCAAAGTTGTGGATCAAATTTATATCGATCGAATAAAGAACTTTTTTAAATAATAAGAATTTCTAATTTTTAACAACTTCTGCATGTTCCGTGACTAAATCTACGCCAAGACCTCTTTTTAGACGTAGTTTTGAAAGTTGATCATGAATCCGTTGTCAAAATAAGTGTATCTATAGTCGTTTGAGAGTAACAACGGTTTTTGTTAATTTTTCTCAAAATAAGGAATATTTCCCCGTAATATCTAGGACTGGAAAAACGAATTTTATTAATTTTCTCACAATAAAAAGGGAGAATTTCCGATTTAACAAATTTTGCCAATAACTTTAGGTAAAGTAAAATTATATACTAGAATCCAAGCCAAAGTATTTGGCTTGCCTGGGAAATTACTTATTAATAGTTCCTCTTCTAGCATGATGAGGTTTTTCCAACGAAAATGGAGCAACTGTCTATTTCATGGCCTACTTTATAGTCCTTTTAAGTCTTTAGTTAATATGCCCTTGTTTTGGTGCAGATGGATGAAATTCCTAACTAATTTTTATGATGTAAATAATGTTACATGGCATCACGTACAAGTAATATACCATTTGGAAACTTTTGTGTCATTCAATATATTGATACATTTTTATGCGATTTTGTTGTGCTCCATCAAACTGTTCATCAAAACTGCTTCATCAAAAATTAGTGTTCATTGGCGTAAAATCAAACTATGGACTTCTCCTAATAATTTGGTAGTATCAAGATTTTACGGAAAACGCTCAAAAGTGTCAATGTAATTTTCAGTAAATACTTACATTAGTAAGGATAGTCGGATTAGTCTCGAATTAGAATAATGCATTGCGGTTTACTTTTTATTCACTTTACAATCTATACATATTTTCACGCTGGGCTATAGTTTTACTGTATTTCTCATTAAAAACTGATATTAAGACACAAATTTCAAACTGCATCCGCCATTATGGCTGCTGTCAATGACTTACGTGTGCGTTGTCCATACCTTTTAAACCAATGTTGCCACACTTTTTAAAAATATAGTTTATTGCGAAAATACTAGAACCATTATAAAGAAGTAATGATTTTCATTTACTATTTGCATATTTATTAACCACTTAGTATTTCGTTTTATGTTGTATTTCATTTGTTATTAACTTCTTGTTTTAATTTAAATTTTCAGATTTTATTGATTTAGATTAGGTTTTATTTTGTTATCAAATAGTCAATAATAAGTTTTGCAAAAATACTAATTCTGCAACTTGGCAACATTGTTTAGGACTGTTTGTTTGGTTTTAAATGCGTTGTTACCAAAAAAATATGAAAGTAAAGTTTACTATGGAAAACATTTGTATTTTTATAAATAGTTAGCCAAGAAATTAATTCAAAGAGCGTTATTATATGTTTTTGAATGTTAATTAGATATTTAATGTTAATTTGAGTTGTATGTATTAGCCGTTATTTATTATTTATTATTAATAGTATTATTGAATCTCAAAATAATTGATGTGTTATGGTAAAATTTTAAAGAGTATTTAAACTTAGCAACATTAATTAAGTACCATTGGCGGATCTAGACATTTGCCTTGGGTGGTAACTTCAAACGTTGTGGAGGGTGGGGGTGTAGGGGGGCGGGTGGTGTAGGACATCTAATGAAACACCGACCAAAAGACATAACAAAAACTAAAACTGCACAAAAGACATAAATAATGGGTATTCTTTAATTTTTGACCGTTTGGGGGGGGGGAATCACCCTATTTTCACCCTTCGTGTAGCCGCCTCCTTTTAGTATCAATAAAGAATTTTGTTGAGGGGATGTGAAAAATTTTTTGTCCAAACCATTTTAAACATCTTCTTTCTATTCTGTCAATGGCCGTTTCTGTAGCATTCATGTTATTTCTTATTCATTCGTTGGTCTTCCTTTTCTGCCTTGATGTTTTAGCACTTCTTCTCAAATAATCCATTTCAACTACCAACAATCTTCTCTTCAGGTCTGCATTAATTTTCTATACTTTAGAGCCATAACAAAGAACTTATTCAACCATGGTTTGCCTCTTTTTTTGTTTCTTTGGGAAATGTTTCGATCCCACCATTAAGAGTTCAGACATCCTACAATTTTACGTCCCTGATTAATTCGGTGTATATTATTAATGTTAGAATTTGTTGATCTCCCCTACTGTATTTCACTCCCATATATTCCAATCTGGACTTTTGGAGTAAATTTTTATAGTGATTTTCGCACTTTTCTATTGGAATTAAGTTGTTTAAGGAGTTATGGGTGTTTTTCTTTAGATTAGTGATACTTCTCCATGCTTCCGTAGTCTGAGAACCACCAATTAAATTTTCAACTTGGACATATTTTGTTCCCAGATATTGTTTTTTGTTTCTTTTATTTGATTGCATACTTCTCCGTTTTTGATTTGTTAGTCATTTCTTATATATTTTGTTTTTTTCCTATATCATTTCTTTTACGTTTTTTGTTTTCTGTGGTGGTTCGTGGTGTTTTTGGTCGTTGTTCTCTGTTCCTAATACTTCATAAGCAATTTTTTTATTATCGTTTTGAGTTTGTTGTATTCTTGTTCTACATCCAAATTTCTTTCCATCTCATTTAGTTCCTTTTCTAATCTGGATTGAAAAAGATGTTTATTACTTAATTTGGAATAAAAGATGCAATTTATATCCCTCCGTTCTGTACTGTGTAGTATTGTTTCTCTCACTTTCGGTGTTCTGTTTGTAGTCTTGTTTAAAGGGGCACAAAAGATTAGGCAAAAGAAAGTAGTGATCTGTCCCACAGTTAGATCCTCTTTTTACTCTGCAGTCTTGGCACTTAAATTCTGAATTCTGTCTCATTTTTTGCTATATAAGACTCAGAGAAATTGGGCGGCACGGGAAATATCGTCGAAATTGACAAAGCAAAAGTCGGCAGGAGAAAACACACCAGAGATCGCTTGTATCCTGACCAGTGGGTCGTAGATGAATTCGAACGGAACTTCAAAAAATGCTTCCTAGTGGCCGTAGAAACCAGAGACACCGATACTTTGTTGAGAATAATTCAGGAATAGATTCTTTGGGGACAACAACCGTAAACCATTTTAAACAATTTTTGGATCCTGAAACAAGTACCCACACAAACAACGTGGAAAGAATGTGCAGGTAAAAAAGATCTACCATTTCCAAATAAGGAGTAAAGCAAAATCACTTCGTAGGTTATCTTGCATATTTTATTTCAAAAGAAAATGATACGCCGAGCGGATGCACCACTTTTTTTTTCGTTGCCGCTCAATTACATCCAACAGCGTATTGGGATTATTGCTAAATAGTAGCTGATACATGTACTGTACTCTTATTCAACACATTGAACCTGCGCAAAATATTTTATATTGTGCGCAAACGTACTTGACTTCTTTTTTCAAATTGAATGAATTTTTAACGGGGAAAAATTATTTTTATTTACAATTGGTTCATACATTTTATATAACTAAGGCTATTTCGTATTTTGATAATATTTTCATCTTGCTAATTTTCATTTTCCTACTTTTTATAAATTTGTTTCAATTTTTTTTACCATTTTAACACTTTTCGTATGGTTCATAATAAAAACCACGAAAATGTTGCCTTTTTTCATTTTTATGTCCACATTTTAAATAAAAAAAAATGTGCATTTTTAGCGATCCTTACTAATGTAAACATTAACCTAATTTTCCAGTTGTTTTCCTCATTCTGATAAATTCGTTTATGTAACGATACCAGTCAAAAATATCACGTAATTTTTCATACATGCCAATATATGACAGGTGATACATTATTCAAAACTCATTGTATCAGTTAAATTATAAAAATTATCTCTTAGCAAAATCATCGTTAAATTGACTTCTAGTAAAAGAAACTATTTGTTGTTTCTAGGAATATAATCAGTTCATAAGATATTTCAAATAATGTATCACATACCATAACTCTATGTTAAGCTCCTTTCCAAATCTACAAGTTGGTTATTAGTCCATCGCAGTATACCTACTCAGCTTAGCACGTGGCCTTCTACCAATAAGAAAAAATTGCAGAAATACTACTACTAATACTTACCGAAACAGCGTGGATTTCGGCTAATCGATTCGTAATTTGCTTAAAGTATTGCTCAGGTGCGATAGCGTACAAATCATTATACACGATTCTCCTAAAACCGATAAAACCATAATTACTTCAAATGAAAAAAGTACTTTTACAATTGCACAAACCCATCCCAAAATTCCTTATCTTCTTTTGACAATAATCTGGATTCCACAGGAAGCAGCAGTGTCAAAAAATTCAAATTAAAGACTTCGCTTTTTAAATATACAAGAGATATTTACTTACAATGTCATGCCACAGACTTCTAAGCATTTCAAATACGTAGAAAAAATTAAATGTTATGTGTATGTAATGATAGTCAAAAATCAAGAATCAAGGGCGTTGTTTATGTAATTAAATATTGTACTATTTGCTTATATAAAGGTAAATTTGCTCTGCCTAACATATTTTCTGAACCTTAAAACTTAAGTTTTTCGGTAACAGAATTAACACAACCCGTTCATTGTTTTTATGACGTTTCTCTGATTTAATCATTAAAAATGGCGTATGGTAAAAGCGTCGTTAGAGACAGACCTTGGGAAAGAAAGATATCGCATGGTCAAAAGAAAATCTACACATACCTAGACAGACCCTAATAATATAAATGCATGGAAGAAGGCATTAACAGCATTCTCGAAAGCAATAAGAATATAGACACAAATACACACCTTGACACAGGTATGTATTTGTGTATCAAGGTGTCTTGACAAGACACCTTGAATGACATTATAATAACCACAAACTTGAGAGATAAGTAAAAAAATACAAAAATCTATTAGGACAGACAACAAAAATCATAAAAGTAAAAAAATTAAACAAAATATTGAAAATAAGAAAGAGTCTCAAACTTCTCAGGAGAAAATTAAAAAATGGTAAAAATGAAACAATTAAATTAAAGGATAAAGAAGGAAATATCACCAACAGAGATGAATTGCTAAGGGTAGTAAAAGATTTCTATACAGAATTACACAGAAAACAACAAAACCATGATGTGCATCTAACAGAACAACTAGAAACCCCAAAAAAGATTAGTCAACCAAAGGATGGGAATTTATTCTTGACATACCAAAAGACAAAATAAGGAACGCACTGAAGAAAATGAACAGAAATTAAGCGCCGTTAATATAGAAGAGAAGATAATCTCGTTATAGAAGCTGTAAAAATCGGAGGAGTTGGACTTTTAGAGAAAATAAAGATTTTTCAACTTACGTCTGCACCAAAGTGAAACATCTACAAGATAACACAGTGCACTTACCATTTTATTACACAAGTGTGTTAAGCCAACTCTACAAGTTATTCACAAGAATAATAACAAATAGACTGGAAACAAAATTAGATTTTTAACAACCTAGGGAACAGGCAGGTTTTAGTAAGAACCAACGACAACCTCCACTGCATAAAAGGGATTATTGAAAAATCTGTCACATTATAAGAGCCTTTTAAATAGATTCATATGGAAAGTAATCTCCAATTCAATATGTTATACCAGTTGTTACCGTTACTAATTATGGAAAGCGGAGGCCAAGATTCGACAGGAGAGGAGAAACATATTTAAACCACGAGGCCTTTCAGGTCGTAAACATGCGAAAACCTCGTGAAGAAATACTAAAAATGAAGAAATCTAATTTTAGAATGTGCACATGGCATGTTAGAAGTCTATTTGCGGCTGAGAAACTTGACAACGCAATTCAAGAAATGAAAAGAATAAAAATAGATCTACTGGACTTCGAAAAGGCATTCGATAAAGTACAGCATGTAAAATTATTGAAAATACTGAAAAAATATAGGAATAGATGACAAGGATATTCGTGTCATTAAAAATTTGTACTGGAATCAAACTGCTATCGTAAAAATTGGAGATAACTACACCGATAAAATATATATTCGAGGAGTCAGACAAGGTTGCATTTTGTCGCCAACATTGTTCAATATTTACTCGAACCAGTTTTTTAAAAAGGGACTTGAGAGACAACCATATGGAATAAAAATCAACGGGAACTACTTATTGTGATTAGATATGCAGACGATACAGTAATTCTATCAGATAATATTGAAGTTCTTCAAATTCTGCTTGATCGTATTCACGAGGTAGGAGAGGAAATGGGCATTAAAATAAACTCAAACAAAAACCAAATTTTTAGTGTTTGGTCGTGACCCACATCCCGATGCAAAGCTTCAATTAAAAGGAGTCTAAGTTGAGAAAGTTCATAAAATGACATATTTAGAAACTGTGATAACGGACCAACTAGATCCAGACATAAAAATAAAGCGTAGAATAGCAATGACTAAAACTACTTTTCATGAAAATGAAGTAATTTCTTTGCAATAACCATCTCAGTTTAGAACTAAGGCAAAGAATGGTTAAGTGCTATGTTTGGTCCGTACTTTTGTATAGTGCAGAAGTGTGGACGCTAAAAGTATCGATCATGAACAAAATTGAAGCATTGGAAATGTGGGTTCATAGACCAATGCTGAAGATACCTTGGACAGCAATGAAAACTAATTAAGAAGTACCAAGGAGCGTCAACAAAAATAGAGAACTGCTAAAGACTGTTCATCGAAAAATGTCTTATCTGGGACATACAGTAAGGAGAAGTCGATATAAAATATTACAACTGATACTTAGAGGCAAAATAGAGGGCTCGTAGAGGTGTAGGAATAAAACAAGTTTCTTGGTTAAAAAACATTCGTGAATGGACTTAGATACCAAATGCAGGACAATTATTCCATAATGCAGAAGATCGAGAAGACTTGGTGATCGGCAAAATCGGATATTTCTGATATGGCACGCGAAGAAGAAAAAGATACCCAACACAATTATGAACTTATGATATGATTAGACAATTGGAGTAAGATCGGTGTAGAACTGGCAGCTTCAAAATAAAAAGCAATGGTACCTGTTCATAGATTTTGACGTAATAATTATTCTTGTCTTCTTGTCTGGACTCGTAATTCGGGATGTGTGTTAGTCGTGTATACTACCACCGAATTCCTCCATCTTCTACGAATTAGTGGTTCCATTATTATCAAATCTGATTAGATATCATTCTTCCATCTTTTCCTGGGACGGCAAAATGATCTTCTACCATATATGAACTGCCCAACTTATTTAGTTAGCTTTTATATGGGTGTTTAAGCCTTAACTTGTCAAGCTGGCCAGGCCACAGAAGGTATTTTATCCTACCCACTGGTAAACCGGGTCGGGTATTGCTCTATCCGTCATCTGTGTTACAGGTTTTTACATTAAGGCTGTTACGGGGTTACAGACTTCCCTGAGAAATCCAGGTTATACCCTATAGCTGTTTTATTAATTGACTCTTAATATTTGACAGGCGACTTGGCCTCTATTTTGTGGGAAAATGCCAGGCTTTTAAATCAATATTCATCAATCAATATAATTAAGGGCGATGGAGGTAATAATGATATGTCTCTGGCATTCCATTAATGGTAGTATATTCTTGTTACGGAGAGAGTGCCTGCTAAATTCTGTTAATGGGTATGCTACTTCATGCATGCATGTTTCTTCATTAAGTAATATAAAATCCCTGATTCTTAATTTTATCTCTTATTGCCGTCTCATGACTATTGATGTATTTTCCATTATACTCTGTACTCATTGTCCCAGGCAGATTTAATCCCATTTAAATACAATATTAACTTAAACGTCCAACAGGAAAACAGTTTCAGAACCTCATTAAGAGTAATGTTTTGTCTAATTCTAGGCCTTCGATGATTTTTGGTTACTAGGTACCATGCATTTCATCTTTTCATCATTTATTCGGAAGATTATCCGCTTCCTCCGCAAGTTGTGAGAACACCTCTTGCAGGTCTCTTATAGAATGAACCACTGTGTCTGTCATCAGCAACGACCAACAGTAATTTTGAATCTTATAATATACCGACGATATTTAAACCGACATGCAGGTTTCATGGCAAAATTTAACAGCAAGGGTGACAATGGATCTCTTTGTCTGAATCCTGATGTTATACTAAATGGTATTGATATTCTATTTCATATCTTTACCTGTGTCTACGATTTTGTAACGCACATCTGTGTTAGTTCCACTAATTTTCTTGGTATTCCCATTTCTAGCATTTCAAGCCATACCCTGCTGCTGTTTGTGCAATCATATGTTTGCTGGAAATCTACGACGATTTGGTGCAAATACCGGTTGAATTCCTAGTTTTCTTCTATTAATTTAACGTAATAATTATAATTCGTGAATGGCAGCACAAATTTTTAATCTTGCAGATATCGTTGAAAAGAAATTGAAACGAACTTTCAAATGAGGCATTATTCTATACAAAGTCCAATAATTTTTTACACAATTTATTATTATGTTATAATCATTGATAAGTATATACAGTTAACATACCTATAGACTCTCTCTTAAAAGGAAAGGATAAACGGGATATTGTCAGATTTTGTAAAACTGTCAAACGAGTCACCATTGGAAATTTACAGATTGTGCTCATTAATGAAATAGAACAAAGAAACTCGAAATCAACCAACTACCTTGATCGTAATATTTAAACCTCAAGATGGCAATGGCAAAATCCCTAAAAACAAAACAGATACATACCCTGTTTGATGAAGAACGTCACACAATTGGAACAAGATGTCGACTTCCAAAGGCGTCATTTGTGACATAGCCTGGGCTGAATGCATGAATTCCTCCTTGCTGACTTCTTGTGTTCTATGACCGTTGGTGACATTAAGATAAATACGTTTGACCAATTCCATATTATTTAATAAGGAGTTAAATGCAATAAAATATGGAAAACTTACGCGGCTGCCTCCCTGTGATTGTGTCGCTGCCTAAAATTAAACACAAAAAAAGAATATTAAAAATATAAGGTATCCAAAATAAGAGCTATGTAGTATAGCTATGTAGTATAGTAGTAATAATCAGGTTGATGTTGTAACGAATGGTACATTGGCGCAGGATATGAAGAGCGCAGTACACTACTTGATTCGCTTGATATGAGCCATTTCATACATACCGCTAGGCATTTGTATCTTGTGGGATATCGATCTCGCATTACACCAAGTGACGATATCATTGTGAGTGACTTTGGACGTTAGACAATATAGGACAAAATACCAGAATTTAAAACGATCCAACTTCACTAAGTAGACCAAAAGCAATAGTCTTTGCAGCGATATCCGGTAAAGGCATCATCTTTCCGCATTTACATGAAGATCAACGCGGAAAACACTCACTAAATACTGAAAGTTACTGCGAACCCCTATGGGGCTTTTTTAATTCAAGACTTGCGAAAGTTGAGTCAGAAAGTCAGGAGTTGAGAATGTAAGACATGTTAAGTTAACATCTACTTTCATCGTTTAAGTTGTAACATCATATAAGCTCATGAATAAGCTTTCAACATTAATACATGAAATATTAGCAGTTCCAGCAAACAGCTTTCCGAAGATAACTAAATACCACAAGAAGCGGTATTTATTTATTTAACGAACTATTTATAAAAAATTAATCTTTTTATTTAGATATTTTTGTGAAGCATAGGCAAGTGTTGCTTACTTTTCGTACATTGTTACGCCAGCCAGCTTTGATACGCCTACGGGTGGCCTGACGCGAAAACTCAAATGCGTTCTCGAAGAATGATTTTAGGAAAAATTAAATTGTAGCGAGTTGGTCGTAAAATAAATTAACAGTAAATAGGTAAAAGAAATAATCAATAAGACTTACTCACAATCAATTTAGTCTTTATCAATTAAGACTTACTCACTTTTGTGAGTAAGTCTTATTCATTATTTCTTTTACCTATTTGAAATGGACTCACACAAGTAACACATTCATGATTTTTATACAGTTAAGTAAATAAATGTTATTAATTAATTGTGATTTTAAGGTTAATGTTAAAAGGCTGTACATAAATTAAAATCATCATTACAATATTAATAAATACGGAAAATTAATTATCTATTATATTTTTACCATCTAATTTCCACATTGTACATTTTATATAAAAAAAAAACAAATACGTACACCTAATAAAACTAGTCGCATCCACTCAACAAGAGAGTACAGTGCGAGCGCGCCCAGCGTCGTCTTTATACAAAACTGGCGCCAAACGTTGTCTTGCTATTCAATTAATGCGCATGCAACTAGACCAGTTCTAGAACCCTAATCATGCGCGGTAAAAAAATAAAAATTTTCACAATTTTCTTAGGATACTCCCGAAACCGTCCTGGATCCAAAAGATTTTAGATGTTTTTTATGCAACTATAATGTGCAGTCTAATATCACGGTAGCATAAAACAAAACAAATAAAGCTACGATACAAGAGAAAAAAGTTTAATAATTTTTTCTTTATCTGTTCAAACGAATGATAGAATAACAGGGAAAATAACAAGGAAAACATTAACAAAAGAAGTATTCGAAGAGGCTGTGCTACTCAATTATTGAGCATGCATCTAAACCAGTTCTAGAACCCCAATCATGCTCGATAAAAAAATAAAGTTTTCAGAATTATTTTAAGACCAAGACAGTCTAACATAAGACAATGAACGCTATGGTATATCGTTTATGTGAATAATTACATGGTGCAAACTTCAGTTTCAACACTTTTATGTAAAAATTTTCAAATCTGTATGATGTATCATCTGAGTATAACGGGTTGCCTACCTCGATATACAGAGTGGCCCAAAAGTCTGGAAACGGTCAATTATCTCGTAAATTACCAGACATAATTATACAAAATTTGAGGTACGCCTATTTTGGGATACGGAGATTCCATTTTTGATATTTTCAATGCTGCCAGATTTGCCGTTTCTCTTATATTATTAGTAACTTTGGTTTTTCAAATTCATCACCCTGTATATTCAGTCATTATTGGAATCTCCTATTCAATACGAGTTCAACCATATGTAACACTTATGATTTTATGTAGTTTGGAAGATCTTAAATACATAAAACATAAAGTCTGGCAACGCCTAATTGTCTCAATAAATTTTTTAATACTAACTATTTTTAACTACATTAAAATGTAACAATTGATAGATTACAACATTTTTTAACATAATGGTTACTTTATCAAGTGTTCAAAATGTGCTCCATGTGAGTTGACAGTACCCTAATCGATGTGAATGCGTCTACCATTTTTTCCATGATTGTCTAGAAATTATTCGAGATTCATCGATATTTCGTTGCCTTAGTTCTGCAAGACTTACTGGTTTAGTTTTGTAAACTGAATTTTTCAAGTATCCCCAATAAAAATAATCTTTAGGATTGAAATCAGGTGAACGTGAGGCCATTCAATTCTACCTCGTCTACCAATCCATCGTCCGGGAAATACCTCTTCTAAATAACGCCGAACATTTACACCAAATTTTGTAAAATTATGACAAGCAATTTACAATTTACGAATTACGAATTTACTAGATAGATACCGATCAGTTAGACCGAAAAGAGTTATGAATGACAACAAAACTAGATATAATGCAAAGTTTTGTTGAAGATCCACATACATCCTCACGCAGGGTTGCACAAGTACATGATGTAGGTCGTTCTTCAGTCTTACGTGTATTACATAAGAATATTTTTAAACGATACAAAATTAACTTATTGCAAGAATTAAGTGAAGATGACTTCGATCGTAGATTAGAGTTTACTGAGGTAATGATGGATAAAATGGAAAAGGATAAAAATTTCGTTAACAGAATATGTTTTTGCGATGAAGCAACTTTACACTGTGTGGAAGAGTAAATCGACACACAATTTAAGGTACTAAAGTGACGTAAATCCACACTGGATGCGTGAAAACCAAACTCAAAGACCACAAAAATTAAATGTATGGTCAGGTATAGCTAGGTAGGTACTTCAGTTAATTGGGCCATTTTTATCGAAGGAAATTTAACTTCAGATAGTTACGAAATGTTACTTAGAAATGAAATTGTACCTACACTGAAAAACTTGTTTGGTGCCAATTTTAATTAGATATGGGCAAGATGGAGCTCCAGCTCATTTTGGGGTAAATGCTCGGGGTTATTTTATAAGAGATATTTCCAGGACGATGGATCGGTAGACTGAGGTAGAATAGAATGGTCTCCACGTTCACCTGATTTCAATCCTGAAGATTATTTTGATTGGGGATAGTTAAAAATTCAGTTTACAAAACTAAACGCAAGTTCTAAGGCAACGAAAAATCGATGAATCTCGAATAAATTCTAGACAATCATGGAAAAATGTGGTAGACGCATTCTACCATCGATTAGGGTACTGTCAACTCACAAATAGAGCACATTTTGAACACTTAATAAAGTAACCATTGTGTTAAAAAATGTTATAATCTATCAATTGTTACGTTTTAATGTAGTTAAAAATAGATAGTATTAAAAAATATATTGAGACAATTAGGCGTTGCCAGACTTCTGTTTTATGTATTTAAGACCTTCCAGACTACATAAAATTATAAGTGTTACATATGATTGAACTCTTATTGAAAATGAGATTCAATAATGAGTGAATATACAGGGTGATGGATTTGAAAAACCAAAGTTACTAATAATATAAAGAAATCGCAAATCTGGCAACATTGCAAATATCAAATATGGAATCTCGTATCCCAAAATAGGTGTACCTCAAATTTTGTATAATTATGTCTGGTAATTTACGAGATAAATGGCCGTTTCCAGACTTTTGGTCCACTCTGTATAATTTACCTTGTATAAACGTAATTTTTAACCTGTATAAAATTACATGCTGTTTTAGCTCTTATGTCCGTTTTATTATAATTTTATAATTAAATGATGGTTTCAATAAAAAAAAACAACAACGAAACAATTGAAGTTAATGTTGAACTTCTTAAAAAAACAACTTGCCTAGCATTATTTGTTGACACCCTGAAATACTTTATGAAGAGCTAGTCGTCTATTTCAAATTGGTTACTGGAGTCTAGTAACTGACGTTGCTCTAGATTTAAATCTTTCTGTCACATCATTCAGTTCATTGAGCAATAACAGATTTACAAAATTAATTTTTTCAAAATATAAACAAACAAATAAAACAAAAACAACGCCAAAAGTATGGTTAATTTGAGTTAACTGACATATCGTTACGATATGACAGAACCGTAAATAATAGTTTATGTAATTTTCTGCTGTGGCTTGGCCAGCTTACGCTTAGCACGCAGAACATGATACATCATATACCGTTTTTACACATTATGTTTTGAGAACTGGAATCTGATGTAGGTTTTCTGAATTATAATCTTGTATGCAATTATTTACATAAACGATCCACTATAGACCCCAATAATAGAGTTGCAAAAAAGGAAAATCGGTCGTGTAAAAATGTGGTGTATTGGATTTTGTTCCACTGCAGCTTTAGAGATAATACTACATATAAATGAAAAAAGAATAGCTCTAAAAAGAGCATTTTGGTTAACACAGTGTCACTATAGAAAACCCGGCGAGCTAAGTGGAAATGTGCAAGATTCTGAATAGTATATTTAAATGGGATTAAGCCACAATTATTGATTGTAATGAAGATTACATTTTATAAATGTTATTTGAATTTTCAATTTTTGACACTCCGGAAATCGTTTTAAAAAACGATTATTTTTAAAATAGTGATATGTTTTTTATAACCAGGTTGTTTGGAGGTTATTGTTTTCAAAAAATTGACAGTCGACTTATTTGGCCTCGATCTTGGAGGCACATAGCCATGCTTCTAGTTGACAATTCTGAGGGTGATGTCTGTACCCTCAGGATGATATCAAATTGTGATTGTTTTTGTGTTTATGTATTGTGTGTTGTATACATATTATGTATAATTGTAGTTGATGTATCTATGGCTTTCTATTAATCAGCTAATGTTGGTATGTTTTTGTTGCTGGCTTCTTCTTTCAGAATTGGCAACCAGAGCTTGCTACATTCTGCTGATGGTTTTGCCACACATTTTTCTTTATTAATTAAGATAAGAACTGCTTCTTTGATTTTATATCTTTTTTCATGTCTGTTTCTTTCAGGACTATTGATGCATCTTTCGATTGTACTATATGCTCATTGGACGTGGCATGTTTGCAAATCTGTGATTTGTTGAAGACTCTATTTTTGATGTATATTTCATGGTCGTTTTATCCTGACAGTGGTCTTGCGGTTTCTTCCGCATAAAAATTGTTTGCATTCCCGGGTATTTTACAGATCCTGTTCTTTGATATCTCTTGTATGTTTTTAGGTTTGGTTTTGGACAGCAGATGTTGGTTGTTTTAAATACTGTTACGATTTTGTACTCATTTCATAACTTTTTAATTGTTCTGATGAGCCCTTTACATATTGTATTGTTGTCATGTTTGAATCACTTCTTGAAGGCGTATCTGGATATACTATTGTGTTTTGTAGTTTCCTTTCGACAATCTTGTTAAAGTTCTTGTTTAGAAATAGCAACGGGTAATCATTTTTTGCTACAAAATCACTATCATATAGTTATTTGATAATTCCCTTTTTGACCTATGCTGTGATTCGAGTGGGTTATTTAAATATCTGTTGCTGTGGGTTGGATTTATGTAAACTTTGGTTGCATATCCTGTATCCTCTTTTGCGATTAACACACCCAGAAAAGGAAGGGTGTGGCTCTTTTTCTTTTTCCATAGGTATTTGATTGATTCTTCTTTACTGTTGATATCGATCAGAAATTCATTCAATGTTTCTGGTCCGCGAGGCCAGATGGAGAACACATCATCTACATTATCTTCACCATACTGTAAGTTGGTCATATTTATTCACAATGTTTTGTTCCAAATACTTAATGAAAATATCTGCTAATAATGAAGATGAGCTTATGGATAATCCAAAATCTTGTTTGTAAAAATCATTATATTGATTTTTAATATCAGTATAAATGATTTATAAGCATATTACAAAGTAACCTTGATATGGGTACTAGCACAAAACCAATTGCTGGTAACGAGATTGCTGATAGTCCTTATTTTATCTGAACGTATATACCAAAAAAGGGAAAAGTAACTTTTCTCGCGTAGCATACTGGAAATTATTTCAGGACAAAGACTACCAACAGGTTATTAAAACCATTGATGGCTATGCCAAAACACTTTTGCTTCATTAAAGTGAACTCATAGTAATCGCAGGAATTTACTGGACACTTCTCATCCGATACCATCTAGATAAATGGGTAAAAATTGTAAGAAACTACAGAGGGAACCGCCAAACATTTTCATTAAAATTCAACAATCATTGAGGTTGTGTTGTCTGCAGCTGCAGGATAATTGTTTACCACCATAAATATCTAGAACAGGTATTTTTAGAACCTAAGCAGTTACCAAATCATATTATCCCAAATGAAAAACAATTTTTCATATTATGATAATTGTTTCGTTTTATTAGGCGATTATGTGTATTTTAAAAATACGTAAACTTTATCATTGTGTATGAATCGCATTTCGCAAGAGAATTACATTACTGATATTACAAAAAACTCACCTCGATTAGATGCGACTGAACTTGTTTGGTTAGTAGATGACTTTTTATACTGGTCATGATTTCTTGGAAGGCCGAGAGGGAAATAAACCCACTGCCATTTGTATCTGCCCTTCTAAAACCTTCGATGGCGTACTCTTCATGGAAGTCGTGAAGAAACTGCGAAAATTCGTTGTAGGATACTACGCGGCTCTTGTCTTTACCAAAATACAGCTGGATAAACGGTGAATCCATGTTGAAAGGAATCTTCTTGTGTAGTTCAGTTTTCTTCATTACCTCAACGAATTCACCTAAGATCAAAACAATGATTGTAATAATTCTTATAAGTTGCAAATTTTATGATTAGCGAACAAACAGAATAAAGGACATTAATAGATGCTTTAACCTCTTAACTCTTTAGCGACATGACGCATCAATAAACGTTTTACCAGAGAACTACACCGTGACGTCTTCGATAGCATCAATAAGCGTTCTGATAAATTTAATTGTTTCAATATCTCAATAACATTCATGAAAGTAAAAGATATAATGAATATGTCATTATTTATGTTAGCCCTTGGTTGTATGGCTTGTATCATGGTTAAATATTTTATATTTGGATATACAGTATAGGTAAAAGTTTATGGTCGTATAGTAAAAACCAATGGAAAGGAAGACTTGAAGAGGCTTATGTTCAGATGTGGACGTGAATGGCTAGACGAAGAAGAAGAAGAAGAAGATGGTAAAATTTAACAGATATCTAACACAGATATAAAATCATATTTTCAGCGAATAGACAAAGATAACAATCATATTTCCCCTTGGTCCAACAGATTTTGTTACAATACTACAATATTTTATTAATATAGTGGTTAAGTTAGGATATACATGGCGATGGTTAGGATATACAGGTGTATGTTTAAAGTCATGTCCAATTAATTCATCAAAAATACACCATGGACTTAAGTCATCTTTATCAGTTTCTTTTTCTTGTACTGGTTGATTTTCAATAGTACAATCTTCTTTTTCTTTTTTTATAGAAGTAACTGTCTCCAGAGGCGTGTCAAGCAGAAGCTGACCGCCGTGCCGGACGCATTTAGAAATTCGGAGAAATACTTGGAAATTCCAAGTGTGGGCAAATCCGAATTTCTAATTGACTCGATGTAGGGAAATTCCACTTTTACTACGTAAAACAAAGGATTTGTTTTATATAAAAGCAGACGGAATTTCTCTCATCGGTCAGTCGAGCTTGCCTCTTCTTCTGTAGACCTAGTCGGTGCTATTATTGTTTCGACTAAGCTATTGTTTTATTTCTTATTTCCTGATAACCATTTATATTTTAATATTGTATATTCAGACCTTTTCAGGTTAGAATATTACTTTGACTTATATTTGTTCATGTACTGATTTATTTACTATTTTATTTGATTATTTTGATTGTTTATATTTCTTGTATTTGTGTCTAAGTAGTTCTTTCCGGTAAGTTAAAGAACTCTTAGAAATATTTTTCTGATATTTCATTTGTGTTTCATTGTGTGTCTAAGTTGTTCTTTTTCGGTAAGTCAAAAGAACACTTAGAAATATTTCCATATTCGCATTCTTATTTCTGATATTTCGTATACTTGTCTCTGTTATTTTTATTTTCACGCTAAGTCGTTTCTTCCGTAAGTCAAGAAACACTTAGCTATATTTCTATATCTTTTCCACATTTTATTTTCTTATTTTCTATTACAAGTTGTTTCTTCCGTAAGTCAAGAAACACTTGTAAATATTTGTATTCTTATTTTTCTGCACTTTATTTTTTTTTCTATTACAAGTCGTTTCTTCCCTAAGTCAAGAAACACTTGTAGATATTTATATTCTTCTATTTGCATATTTGATTCTCTTGTTGTTTTTCTGTTCTAAGTTGTTTCTTCCGTAAGTCAAGAAACACTTAGACATATTTTTCACATATTGTTTTATATTTACTTATTTCATTTGTTTATATTCCTCTCTTAAGTTGTTCTTCCGTAAGTCAAGAAACACTTAAGAACATTTCTGCATTCTTTTATCTTGTGTATTTTACTCATACTTCTGCATTTTCTATTCTTTGAACTTGTACATTTTACTTTTCATTCTAAGCTGTTTCTTCCGTAAGTCAAGAAACACTTAGAAACATATTCTTTACATTATATTTATCATACCATTATATTTTATTGTTTGCTGAGTTATTCCTTCCGTAAGTCAAGGAATACTTAGGTTATTTTACCTGTTCTGTTTTCCATTTTTGATCTGTTATTTTGTAACTGTTCCTTGGAACCGTTACTTGTAACAGGTACTGTCGCTGTAACGGTTATTCTGTAACGGTAACAGTATTGACCCATTTCACTAGCGACAAGCGAAGATGGTAAACACCCGTTCCAATTCCGGAGACAGGAAAAAGTCCGAAGAGCCGGCGATGGGTCCTACAGGCCCAAATGCCCCCTCTCGGCAACATAACCAGCTTCTTGACTCTCTCTTTTGTTTTTTATAACTAGGTATTCTGATTAATGAATGAGTTTCGATTTACGATTGATCTGCATTTTCGATTTCAAATCTTTACTGATAGTTCGTCAAAGGATTTATTTATTGTAAATATCAATTAAGAATTCTTTTTCTTAGTCAAAATTATTGACCTAGTATAAGAATAATAATTTTATTTTCAAAAAATGCACATTTGTAGAAGATGCAGCTTTTATGGTCCACTTTCTGAATATTGCATCCAATGATTGAAACTTCTCCTCGCAATTCTGTCCGTTTCGACTACTTCTACTACAAGTACTGACATACTGCCACCGCCACCCAAGCGTCAAAGGTGATGGATACTTCCATTAATAAAAATATTAGTTTAGAACAAAAGAAACAGATAGATATGGATTTTACTAAACCTATGCAAAGACCTGTTTCATCCGTTTTCCATAGTTGAAGAACGAGTTTTTAAAAAGTTTGCAGGGTGGATTCCTGCATATAAACCGCCAACAAGAAAAACTTTGTCAGGTTCATTACTTCAGGAATGTTATATCAAAACTGAGCAAATTATTAGATCACAAGTTGTTAAAGAGTAGAAAATATCTGCATTACTACTGATCTCTGAACATCTGGAGTAACTGAGAGTTACATCGCATTATATATAATATATATATATATATATATATATATATAATATATATATATATATATATATATATATATATATATATATATATATATCCGGTTTTTAGGCGTTACGCCTGTCCGGGGTAGGATCTATGGAGGAGTATCACCGAGACGCAAGCCCTTATCTCTTGCCGTACTGCTCCACTATAGGCCGATCAGATCCCAGCATATCCTAGTCTAAGCCGCAGATTCATCTAGAATTTTAAACTGCTGCGTTAGACTTTTTGTTTTCTGTACACCGAGCTTGGGCTCGATCCCACATCCACTAAACCATTCGACAGTGAAGCGAATGAGAGGCAGCCGCACAGCCCGCTCAGCTATCTGACCGACACATCGCATTAACAGGACAATATTTAACCGACAATTTAGAATTTAAAACGGTTTAATTAGGCTGCTGCAATTTTTCTGGAAACCATAATTCAGAAAACATCGCTTTTGAAATTAGTGAAATTATTAATCAGTGGGGTCTAAAACGAAACGTAAAGTTTGCAGTAACTGATAATGCCTCAAATATGGTCAAAGCTATTAAAGATGTTTTGGAATGAAAACATTGAAATTGTTTTGCTCATATGTTAAATTTATTGGTGGAGGACGCACTTAAATACTGTTGTGTACAAATAGATAAAATAAAAATTCTTTTTTTTTTTCGATAATTCGGCAGAAAACACATTTCAAAAAAGTACCTTATCTTCAGAAAGACTTTTGAAGTATCAATTACAACATAACAAAGTTCCCAAACGGCCAATCCAAGACGTGAAAACTAGGTAGAACTTCACCTATTACATGTTAAAAAGAATGACCGAGTTAGAAGAGGCAATCCGTTCCACATTGGTATTAGTTAATACAGACTTAGACCAAATCTAAATAATAGAAGACTGGATTATTTGTTCTCAACTTTCCCAAATTTTACGGCCTTTTAAAGAAATAGCAAGTACAATGAGTGGCCAAAAATACTTGAAGGGTGGTTCAGTGATTGTTATGGTACGCTGCCTGCAAGAATCTTGAAATATAATTTTAGCAAACGGTCACCTTACATCCATAGTATCCGACGTAGTACAATTAATAATATCGGGATTAGCAAAAAGATTTAGAGGGATAGAACAGAGTGGCACATTGTCATTATGTACATTTATGGGTTCACGATTTAAAGTGGAGGGATTTTCTGATAAAAATGAAGCTAAAAAAAACAAAAGAAAGAGTTAAAAAGCTGGTTACTCCTATAATTAAAGAACAAGAAGATTGTAATATTGAAAATCAACCAGTACAAGAAAAAGAAACAGATAAAGATGACTTAAGTCCATGGTGTATTTTTATGGATCAATTAATTGGACATGACCTAACTAAACCACTATATTCATAAAATATTGTAAATGTGAAAACATGTTCAAAATCTGGTTTAATTTTAAATAAAAGAAGAACACGGTTAACAAGAAGTAAAGTAGAAAAACTTATGTTTTTAAATGTTAATTAAGACGATTCGCGATTTAATAATAACGTGTAATGTAAATATTAGTACGATTTACTATTGGTATGGTTTAGTTTTTGTTTCGTCAGAGCGCTGAATGGCTTGATTAAGCGTGGGTATACAGTTAAGTGCTATCGACATTTAACTTCATCTTTCCTCACTAGAGGTCTCTAGTAGCATACTCTGGTAATTTTTTTTCCTACAACCACCATAGTAGTAAGTGCATTTTAATTTGGTTTGAGTCTTCTTACAAACTCTCTATGATTCAGATCTCTCTTGGGCCCTTCTCCTCCATTGTCTTATATTCACGGTTTTCAGGTCATCTTCCACGTCATCCAACCATCTCGTCCAGTGCCTTCCTTTTTTTCCGCCTTCCTACCGCTTCCACTGTAACATCTTTTGTCGTTTTCGTGTCTTCTTGTCGCTGAACATGTCCCAGCCACGACAGTCTTTGACATTTCACAAATCTTACAATGTTTATACCCTTCATTCAGTTCATTAACCTCGTCGTTTCTCCTGATTCCCCATGTGCCGTCTTCCTCTTGCACCGAGCCATATACTTTTCTCAGTATCTTTCTCTCGAATCTCCTGAGTTGAGCTTTCTCTTTTCGTCATTACCCAGGTTTCACTACCATAGGTTACTACTTCTGTAGATATTAATTTTGGTTCTTTTGTTTGATAATTTCGATGTCATTAATTTCTGTACCCAGATATGTGAAGGCATCCACACGTTCAATAATAGAATATATAATATAGGTATGTGAGCCTATATTTTCTTATAAAATTGATAGTGGATATGACCGTGGCCATTATTTCTTTCCAAAATAAAACCTTGACAAACAGCGCATTTTGGTAAAAAAATACTAAACTGTAATAATTCGAAGCTTGTTTCAAATAATGGAATAAATCTTCTCCTGTAACGATATCTTTCAAACTGCACGCTTTTTATCACGTACAAATAAGAGGAACTATCTACTAACTGTTCGTATTTTCCGTCCATTGCTAGAGAGAAACAATTCATATGACTATGCTTTATCTTTGAGCTGTTCATACAATTTAACGCCCAACCCTTCGGAGCGTCGGGTGCAAGTTCTAGCAGAGAGACTGAGACTTTGAAATTGTTTTGCTCCATGTCCGAAAATCCGGACAGGATTACATTCTATTAGACTCGATAAAAAGATATAAAATGTCCATGCTTCGTTAAAAACTCTTATTTATTCTACAATCTTCCTTCCTACAAACTGAATCTCCAGCTTCCGTAGACACAACACTTATGACTCTATTATTTAAATAAAACTTATTTACTTGTGCAGGTGGCACTGTAGTGACTTACGGGCCACTAGTTGCCGACCGCTGATATATATTTTAGAAAGGAAGACAATATTAACTCTTTACAAAAGTTTATGGTCGAAAGAAGTTTTCATCGTCGCATGTAAAATACTACATATCATTTGGGCGCGCGTCTTTACGTAATACTATAATGAATCCTTTATAAACATTGCTCTAGCTATTATGGCTATGATGATAACTTACGGTTCATAATATTCCCCCCACATCCCATTTAATTCGAATCCGTCATATTTTTTTCTGTATCTGATGTATCTTAAATTTTATCTCAATCGAATATAAGAAAATATTAATAATATCTAGTAAAGAATAAATGATCAATATCATTTTTGTAAGGGAGTGAAAAACTTGCAGGGAAAGGTTATAATCTTAAATCTACTGCGAGTAAAATTAAAATAAAGCGTTTACCACGAATATAAAATATGATGAATAATACAATAGGATACTTACTGAAACTAACCATGCCATTTCCATTAGTATCGAATAATTGAAAAGCTGTTTTATACAGAGCATCCGGGAAACAGAGGAGCCCCTCGAATGCTTGAAATTCTGGATAAGAAATGAGTCCATCTTTGCTGGTATCAACGATTGCTGCCAACAACTTTACTGTATCCTTGTTGTAGTTTTGATCGTCCAAGAGTTTTAAATATTTTATAACGAAATCTTCGGCGGTCATAAACTTCTCGCCATTTTTGTCCACAGTGGCATATCTGTTGAATATTTCATGTAAACTAAATTCATTTGCTCTTCGTAAAAATCCACCGCCCTAAAAAAAGAAAGAAATATATGATTGCGTGTAAATCAGAAATAGTACATTGTTTAACCGGTAGCCGGGTAGGAAAAGCTTAACATTCCTGGACGACTGTGAAGATTGCCAAGTCGAGGCGCAAGCCGAGACTTAGCAACACAGAGTCCAGGAATGTGGCTTTTCCTATGAGGTAAACATACTAATTTTTCCTCAAATCGTTTAAAATTCGACAGATATTGATTGATTAAAAAAAATAAATGGTGCTTTGAAATTCCTAATAAAATTACTTGGGTTACTATGGAAACGTATTGAGGTTGAATTGTCAAACTTGACAATCATTTATGTAGAACACTAACAACTGTACGGAAATATCATTTCCTTACAGTAAGGAAATGACATTTCCCTTACAGTAAGGAAGTCCTGACTTTTTCTTCAAGGAATTTTGAGAGGAATGTCAAAATTTCCTGGCGATTTGCGGAAAAAATATTTGTTTCGGATCATTAATGAGTCACATATTCTGTTGTCTCAGTGTATATTACTGTTTAATAAGATTGAAGTTTTCAAAGAAAACAATGCTTTTATCAGTTACCTTGTTTTGAATTATAACTATCATAGTACAACGATTAAATGAGCTGATAGTGTTTTAATATGGCAAACAATAAATTTAAAGTAATATGTGTTTTTCCAGGTCATAAAAAAATATGATTCAGGTCGTTAAAAATAAAATTACATAATGGGTTATCATTTTTTTAAGACAAGGAAATAGTATTACATAAAACGTGGATTTAAAAGCATTGATCTGGCTTGAGAATTATATTTTCTTCTTCTAGTCCCCATGGCCGTTATTCATCGTTGGAAATTATGCTGGCTACCATATTCACTATCGTCACAATATTGACAGCAGCTCTAAATAATGATATAGTCGAGTTTCCGTACCACTGTCTTAGATTGTTTTACCCACGATGTTCTTCTTCTACCAGGACCACGTTTACCTTAGATCTTTCCCTGAATGATCATATTTTTGTAAAAGTTCATATTTTTCAAGGCGTCTCATAATGAGACCGAATTATCCCAGCTTGCGACTCTTTATTGTATTGACCAGTTGTGTTGTTTGTTTCAGGTATTATTTTATCGATGGAGTAACAAATCAAAATAGTTCATTTCCTTAGTATTATTTCAAGCCGGAATTACTACAGTTAGTCAAAAGGAATAAAAAACAGAAAACACTTTTAGTAGACAAACTTGTACATAGTTTTGAACATCCTGTGTTAAGATTGCCCTTTACCATTGTGAATTCAAGCCCATTGAACATATTTGTGGAATATGTAAAACTTACTACGATAAATGTATTGGACCTGACAGTTACAGTAACGCAGCAATTTTGGAAACATGGCAAGAAGCATTGTATGCTGATACTTCTGCAATTTACGAACAAAGTGTGCGGAAACGTGAAGTTAATAGAAAAATGTTAGACGCGTTAAAATCTCATCGAAGTAATTACCCAGCCATCATTTACAATCCAAATGAAGATATCGACAACAGTGATTATGAGTATGAATCTAAATTTTGATTACACTGTAAGGTAAAAGATTTTCATTTTCTCAAGACGGACAACTCCATTTTTCAAAATTGAGTTATAAGGTACATTCTTATAGGATTTTTCCCGTGGAATTCAAATCTGAATTGCTTTAGTTTCAAAAGCGGCTAGAAAATGTAAAAAATTGCATTTTTAAACTAGCATTAGTTTCAGAAACGGGCAGCTCCAACTTGATTTTGTAGTAGAATTGGACTACTCCGTTACAGCCAATCGAATGGTAGTATTTCCATCAAGTTGTCATGCGCACTAGAATAAACCTACTGAGAGTGGCCATTGCGTTTCAAGTTTGCAACAGTTAACGACGTTATTTTAACCGCTTTCGTGTTTTTTAACAATATTTTCGTTATTTGTCCGAAAAATGGAAGTGAACGTAGTTGAAGTACCTAAAAATGAAGCCAGAAAGAAATTAGTCGACAAAATAATTAGAAACGGGAACTGGATAAAGATTAAAAGGTAAGTTAGCGTGTCGTCTGTGTATACTAATTTACGTCTTGGCATGGTTTATGTTATCTACGAACACCGTTTTTGGTTTTTAAATTACAAATGTATAAATTTTAAATTTTTATCCCTGCGAAGATTAAACACGTGTTTTTTTTTTGTTTGCTTGCGAAATCACTACCAATTTATCCTACTTGTAAGCATAGAAGTAGTAATAAAAAAGGTTGCCAATTGCTAACGATGAGAGATGTTTCGCGATTCCATTCAGCTTTTTACAACTCCAGGGAGAAAACAAAGCAAGATAGTTTTCTTCTCAAGTATTGCAAGGAATCTGCCCCAGCAAGAATGCGAAATAAGAAAGGTGGAGCTTCCAAAGCATTCCAAAGGAGGTTTGTAAAAATGCCTTTTTATAGATTTTACGGATTACAAAGCATCGAATAATAGGTGTATTCCATCGTTTTAAAAAGGATGGTTCTCTGGTGCCCCAAGAAACTCGTGGTGGCAATAAGAAAGAGGCAGCGTCTGTAGAAAAACAAGCATCTGTTATTATTTTATTAAAAACTTTAAGGGAATTGAGTCTCATTATAGTAGAGGTAAAAGCAAGTGAATTTATCTTAGTTCTGACTTGAACATCAGCAAAATGTACGCTATGTATCATCAAAGCACAGACGAAAACTTTTTAAAGGTAAAATAATCTTACTTTAGACACTTTTTTAACACACGTTTCAATGTCAGTTTTTCGTCACCTCTTACAGATGTTTGCTCAACTTGCCTTGAGTTTGAAGAGAGAGTAAAACATGCTACACAAAAAAGGACACTGATATAATTATTTCATGGAAAACCAAAAAGAAACTTCATAAAATGCAGGCTCGAGCATTTTCTAACCATTTACGGGAGCAAAGAAATGGCAAAAAAAATTTGCCACTTCCAAAAGTACCTTGATCAAATGGAATATTACAGTCGACAGCTGTACTGCTATAATCTTGCTGTCATTTCTGGTAATTCGTCAACTTCACTGAATCCAGACTCTCTCTCAATTTATACATGGTGTGAAAACTACATGCAAAAATCGTCCAACCAAGTTGCCTCTGCTGTTTTTAATGAGCTATGTGAAAAAACTAGAAATGGAGTTCTTGCAGAAATTAATGTGGTTCGTTTGGTTGCTATGTACTATGCATGTACTAGCAATGTGGGCGTTTTGGTTAAATAACTATGCTCCTAATAATGTGGAATATTTAGAACTTGTATTCCCGGTAACTGGTCACTCTTTTCCTCCAGCGGACAAAGTTTTTGGTATGCTGGAGAAAGAGTTTAAAAAATTGACAACGATAATTGAAGTGTCAGAGTACTTGGAGGTGTTTTCCAAATATGGAAAAGTAAAAAAAACTGGGTAAGAATTGGACTGCGCTAAATCGGAAAGATAAAGCCAAAAAACTTTTAAAAACCGTACAAGGTGTTTACTTTGCCGTTTCCAAGTGCAAACGTTTCCGTTTTGTTCGCAATAAAGCTAAAACTAACGTGTGGGTTAGTTACTCTAACTGCAGTCCCAACACCACCAGAAGACGCAGAAAACCTAATACCCAATATCCAACTGAGAATTAACACCAACGAACCAACAACGCAAGAAATAGAAATGGCCATAGAAAAACTGAAAGCACACAAAGCAGCCGGCCCTGACAATATTCCACCAGAGTTCTTAAAAGCTTGCCCAGGTACAGTGGCAGAGCTAATCCAACCACTCTTGAAAAGGGTTTGGAGAGAGGAAAAGTTCCCCAAAGAATGGAAAACGGGATTAATAATAAAGATATCAAAAAAGGGTGACAGAAGATATTGCGAAACCTGGAGAGGAATCACACTTCTGAATACTATAAATAAATATAACAGCAATAATTATAAACAACCGACTAACAAACAGTGTAGAACCAATGTTGAGGAAGGAAACAAGCCGGTTTCAGACCAAACAGATCATGCGTGGACCAAATTAACACACTAAGAATAATTGTAGAAACAGTCCACAGGAATTCAACTCTCCTCTCTTTGTGTGCTTTGTGGACTTCAAGAGAGCTTTTGACACGCTCACACATACGGCCATATAGAAAGCACTGCAGGAAATAGGAATACCAGAAAAAATAGTAAATCTCATCAAAGAACTCTACAGTGACACAGAAAGCAAAATCCTACACAACGGCATAACATCTGACCCAATAGCTATGCTAAAGGGATAAAGCAGGGCTGTGTTTTATCCCCCATACTATTTAACATTGTACTGGACTCCGTACTAACAATGGTAAACTCTAATAGAGGAATTTACTGGGGATTAACAAACAGACTGGATGACCTAGCTTACGCTTATGATATATGCCTCCTAGCACATACAAAACAGGACATGCAACTCCAAGTAAACAAAGTACAAGAAGAATCAAAGAAGGTTGGTCTAGAAATAAAGATCAACAAAACCAAAGAAATGCGATTTGGTACCAGAAACAACCAACCTATTATGATCAACGACCAGAAAATTGAGAGAGTAGCGAAATTTGTATATCTGGGCAGCATAATTGACTGTAATGGGGGTACAGAGCGTGATGTACATGAAAGAATAAATAAGGCTCGCAACGCCTACAACATGCTTAACAACATATGGAAATCCAGGATTTACCCAACTAAAACGAAATTAAAAATCTTCAACACAAATGTAAAAGCTGTATTACTGTATGGCTGCGAAACGTGGAAGATACAGCACCCATAGTACACCAATTACAAGTTTTCATCAATAGAGCGTTACGAAAAATCCTTCGTATATTTTGGCCTAACCGAATCTCCAATGAAAATTTATGGAACCAAAGCAACCAAGAAAATGTCATAAAGCAAATAAGGCGAAGAACATGGAGATGGCTGGGCCACACACTCCGTAGACCGCCAAATGACATTGCCAGGACAGCGCTGGATTGGAATCCCCAAGGCCGACGGAAAGTAGGCAGACCTA